GCCAGGTAGCAGGTAGCGATCAAAGTGGCCAGGTAGCAGGTAGCGAACAAAGTGGCCAGGTAGCAGGTAGCGATCAAAGTGGCCAGGTAGCAGGTAGCGAACAAAGTGGCCAAGTAGCAGGTAGCGAACAAAGTGGCCAGGTAGCAAGTAGCGAACAAAGTGGCCAGGTAGCAGGTAGCGAACAAAGTGGCCAGGTAGCAAGTAGCGAACAAAGTGGCCAGGTAGCAGGTAGCGATCAAAGTGGCCAGGTAGCAGGTAGCGATCAAAGTGGCCAGGTAGCAAGTAGCGAACAAAGTGGCCAGGTAGCAGGTAGCGAACAAAGTGGCCAGGTAGCAGGTAGCGATCAAAGTGGCCAGGTAGCAGGTAGAGATCAAAGTGGCCAGGTAGCAGGTAGCGAACAAAGTGGCCAGGTAGCAGGTAGCGATCAAAGTGGCCAGGTAGCAGGTAGCGAACAAAGTGGCCAGGTAGCAGGTAGCGATCAAAGTGGCCAGGTAGCAGGTAGCGATCAAAGTGGCCAGGTAGCAGGTAGCGAACAAAGTGGCCAGGTAGCAGGTAGTGAACAAAGTGGCCAAGTAGCAGGTAGCGATCAAAGTGGCCAGGTAGCAGGTAGCGAACAAAGTGGCCAGGTAGCAGGTAGCGAACAAAGTGACCAGGTAGCAGGTAGCGAACAAAGTGGCCAGGTAGCAGGTAGCGATCAAAGTGGCCAGGTAGCAGGTAGCGAACAAAGTGGCCAGGTAGCAGGTAGCGATCAAATTGGCCAGGTAGCAGGTAGCGAACAAAGTGTCCAGGTAGCAGGTAGCGAACAAAGTGGCCAGGTAGCAGGTAGCGAACAAAGTGGCCAGGTAGCAGGTAGCGATCAAAGTGGCCAGGTAGCAGGTAGCGATCAAAGTGGCCAGGTAGCAGGTAGCGAACAAAGTGGCCAGGTAGCAGGTAGCGATCAAAGTGGCCAGGTAGCAGGTAGCGATCAAAGTGTCCAGGTAGCAGGTAGCGAACAAAGTGGCCAGGTAGCAGGTAGCGATCAAAGTGGCCAGGTAGCAGGTAGCGATCAAAGTGGCCAGGTAGCAGGTAGCGAATAAAGTGGCCAGGTAGAAGGTAGCGAACAAAGTGGCCAGGTAGCAGGTAGCGATCAAAGTGGCCAGGTAGCAGGTAGCGAATAAAGTGGCCAGGTAGAAGGTAGCGATCAAAGTGGCCAGGTAGCAGGTAGCGATCAAAGTGGCCAGGTAGCAGGTAGCGAATAAAGTGGCCAGGTAGAAGGTAGCGATCAAAGTGGCCAGGTAGCAGGTAGCGAACAAAGTGGCCAGGTAGCAGGTAGCGAACAAAGTGGCCAGGTAGCAGGTAGCGAATAAAGTGGCCAGGTAGAAGGTAGCGAATAAAGTGGCCAGGTAGCAGGTAGCGAACAAAGTGGCCAGGTAGCAGGTAGCGAACAAAGTGGCCAGGTAGCAGGTAGCGAACAAAGTGGCCAGGTAGCAGGTAGCGAACAAAGTGGCCAGGTAGCAGGTAGCGATCAAAGTGGCCAGGTAGCAGGTAGCGATCAAAGTGGCCAGGTAGAAGGTAGCGATCAAAGTGGCCAGGTAGCAGGTAGCGAACAAAGTGGCCAGGTAGCAGGTAGCGATCAAAGTGGCCAGGTAGCAGGTAGCGAACAAAGTGGCCAGGTAGCAGGTAGCGATCAAAGTGGCCAGGTAGCAGGTAGCGAACAAAGTGGCCAGGTAGCAGGTAGCGATCAAAGTGGCCAGGTAGCAGGTAGCGAACAAAGTGGCCAGGTAGAAGGTAGCGATCAAAGTGGCCAGGTAGCAGGTAGCGATCAAAGTGGCCAGGTAGCAGGTAGCGATCAAAGTGGACAAGTAGCAGGTAGCGATCAAAGTGGCCAGGTAGCAGGTAGCGAACAAAGTGGCCAGGTAGCAGGTAGCGAACAAAGTGGCCAGGTAGCAGGTAGCGAACAAAGTGGACAAGTAGCAGGTAGCGAACAAAGTGGCCAGGTAGCAGGTAGCGAACAAAGTGGCCAGGTAGCAGGTAGCGAACAAAGTGGCCAGGTAGCAGGTAGCGATCAAAGTGGCCAGGTAGCAGGTAGCGAACAAAGTGGCCAGGTAGCAGGTAGCGATCAAAGTGGCCAGGTAGCAGGTAGCGATCAAAGTGGCCAGGTAGCAGGTAGCGATCAAAGTGGCCAGGTAGCAGGTAGCAATCAAAGTGGCCAGGTAGCAGGTAGCGAACAAAGTGGCCAGGTAGCAAGTAGCGAACAAAGTGGCCAGGTAGCAGGTAGCGATCAAAGTGGCCAGGTAGCAGGTAGCGATCAAAGTCGCCAGGTAGCAAGTAGCGAACAAAGCGGCCAGGTAGCAAGTAGCGAACAAAGTGGCCAAGTAGCAGGTAGCGAACAAAGTGGCCAAGGAGCAGGTAGCGAACAAAGTAACCAGGTAGCAAGTAGCGAACAAAGTGGCCAGGTAGCAGGTAGCGAACAAAGTGGCCAGGTAGCAAGTAGCGAACAAAGTGGCCAGGTAGCAGGTAGCGATCAAAGTGGCCAGGTAGCAGGTAGCGATCAAAGTGGCCAGGTAGCAAGTTGCGATCAAAGTGGCCAGGTAGCAAGTAGCGAACAAAGTGGCCAGGTAGCAAGTAGCGAACAAAGTGGCCAGGTAGCAGGTAGCGAACAAAGTGGCCAAGTAGCAGGTAGCGAACAAAGTGGCCAGGTAGCAAGTAGCGAACAAAGTGGCCAGGTAGCAGGTAGCGAACAAAGTGGCCAGGTAGCAAGTAGCGAACAAAGTGGCCAGGTAGCAGGTAGCGATCAAAGTGGCCAGGTAGCAGGTAGCGATCAAAGTGGCCAGGTAGCAAGTAGCGAACAAAGTGGCCAGGTAGCAGGTAGCGAACAAAGTGGCCAGGTAGCAGGTAGCGAACAAAGTGGCCAGGTAGCAGGTAGCGAACAAAGTGGCCAGGTAGCAAGTAGCGAACAAAGTGGCCAGGTAGCAAGTAGCGAACAAAGCGGCCAGGTAGCAGGTAGCGAACAAAGTGGCCAGGTAGCAGGTAGCGAACAAAGTGGCCAGGTAGCAAGTAGCGAACAAAGTGTCCAGGTAGCAGGTAGCGAATAAAGTGGCCAGGTAGAAGGTAGCGATCAAAGTGTCCAGGTAGCAGTTAGCGAACAAAGTGGCCAGGTAGCAAGTAGCGAACAAAGTGGCCAGGTAGCAGGTAGCGATCAAAGTGGCCAGGTAGCAGGTAGCGAATAAAGTGGCCAGGTAGCAGGTAGCGATCAAAGTGGCCAGGTAGCAGGTAGCGAACAAAGTGGCCAGGTAGCAGGTAGCGAACAAAGTGGACAAGTAGCAGGTAGCGAACAAAGTGGACAAGTAGCAGGTAGCGATCAAAGTGGCCAGGTAGCAGGTAGCGATCAAAGTGGCCAGGTAGCAGGTAGCGATCAAAGTGGCCAGGTAGCAGGTAGCGATCAAAGTGGCCAGGTAGCAGGTAGCGAACAAAGTGGACAAGTAGCAGGTAGCGAACAAAGTGGACAAGTAGCAGGTAGCGATCAAAGTGGCCAGGTAGCAGGTAGCGATCAAAGTGGCCAGGTAGCAGGTAGCGATCAAAGTGGCCAGGTAGCAGGTAGCGATCAAAGTGGACAAGTAGCAGGTAGCGAACAAAGTGGCCAGGTAGCAGGTAGCGATCAAAGTGGCCAGGTAGCAGGTAGCGAATAAAGTGGCCAGGTAGCAGGTAGCGATCAAAGTGGCCAGGTAGCAGGTAGCGAACAAAGTGGCCAGGTAGCAGGTAGCGAACAAAGTGGACAAGTAGCAGGTAGCGAACAAAGTGGACAAGTAGCAGGTAGCGATCAAAGTGGCCAGGTAGCAGGTAGCGATCAAAGTGGCCAGGTAGCAGGTAGCGATCAAAGTGGCCAGGTAGCAGGTAGCGATCAAAGTGGCCAGGTAGCAGGTAGCGAACAAAGTGGACAAGTAGCAGGTAGCGAACAAAGTGGACAAGTAGCAGGTAGCGATCAAAGTGGCCAGGTAGCAGGTAGCGATCAAAGTGGCCAGGTAGCAGGTAGCGATCAAAGTGGCCAGGTAGCAGGTAGCGATCAAAGTGGACAAGTAGCAGGTAGCGAACAAAGTGGCCAGGTAGCAGGTAGCGATCAAAGTGGCCAGGTAGCAGGTAGCGAATAAAGTGGCCAGGTAGCAGGTAGCGATCAAAGTGGCCAGGTAGCAGGTAGCGAACAAAGTGGCCAGGTAGCAGGTAGCGAACAAAGTGGACAAGTAGCAGGTAGCGAACAAAGTGGACAAGTAGCAGGTAGCGATCAAAGTGGCCAGGTAGCAGGTAGCGATCAAAGTGGCCAGGTAGCAGGTAGCGATCAAAGTGGCCAGGTAGCAGGTAGCGATCAAAGTGGCCAGGTAGCAGGTAGCGAACAAAGTGGACAAGTAGCAGGTAGCGAACAAAGTGGACAAGTAGCAGGTAGCGATCAAAGTGGCCAGGTAGCAGGTAGCGATCAAAGTGGCCAGGTAGCAGGTAGCGATCAAAGTGGCCAGGTAGCAGGTAGCGATCAAAGTGGACAAGTAGCAGGTAGCGAACAAAGTGGCCAGGTAGCAGGGAGCAGGTCGCGGCCCCCCGTGTCTGGGGAAGGCCGCGATCACACGGCGAGAGACACACCCCTCGACCCCACGTGGTGCTCTCCTCTCAGCCAATCACGGGCGAGCAGTGGACCTTCAAACGGGCGCAGCGGTTCGGCGTGGGCTGTACCAACTGCGACGAAGCGGCAGGGGTTTTGGCGAGCGGGTTGGGTGGGGGGAGTGATTTGCCGCGTTTATATTTAATTACAAAAGCCACGGTACTTCTTCATCTCTATACTTATACCAGTTGCAATATTCTTACTAAATTATCACATCGAATGTTTCGTGTGTACACGTCCGTGTCGTTATTAATGTTGACCTGATTAACGCGGTGTCTGCTTAGCACAGCCCACGCGACGTCATCCTTCCACTTGTCTAGCGTGCTTCTGCCCCTGGGGCGAGGCGGGGGCGTGTCGCGCCGCACGCCGCGGCCCCGCTCCGCCCCAGGGGCGAGTTGTCGTCGCATTGCTGCGGCTCGCAACGCCATTGGACGCCCCGCGCCGTTTCCGTTAAATTCAAACTCGCGACGGCAGCGGCGGCGGTCAAGGCGAGGCGCGGCGTTGGTGACGAGGTGCGGCCTCATCGATACCTCATCGATACCTCATCGTGCTTGCACTCTTGTCTAACCATGCCCGCTCGTGTTAGTTTCTCCTATTCCTCCTCCTGCGTTGAAGGAGCTTAGGGCTTGCTGTGAAGTGGTTCACTGCACGGCCCATGGGTTGCGTAGCATGGCGGCAGTGGCCTTCGTTGTTTGTTTCGTGGGCTCGGGATGTGTATGCGTATGAATTCTAAGTGTGTACGGGTTACTGTCAAATAGGGAACGAAAGGTGTGTGTGTGTGTGCAGGGTCTGTGAGTTGTTAACCGGCGCAACTAATTTTGTCATGGAAGTTCCATTTCGACGCGTACAGCAGCGTGTGTGAATTGATGCATTAAAGACCCGTGCGTGTGATCGTTAAACAGATGGTCCCGAGTGTGGGGACGTTAACTCGTGAAAGCAAAGTGTGTGTGTGTTAATGCTACACAATGCTACACACTGCTACACAAGGGGTGTGCGTTAGTGCTACACAGTACATTCAAGGCAGCGTCTTTTGTTAATGAGCGAATCGCTTTGTTCAATGGCTGATGTCGATGACGAGATCGTTTAAGGTGTTCACATTCGTGAGTTAAAGCTATGTTCATGTTAACTAATAACTAGCGAAACATTACACATCTAATACCGTTGAATAGAGATGTAAAGACGTCCATTGACGTTACTTGGTGAACTGCAGCATCGGGAAAATCGCCCGACGATGCTGGATGTAATTACCAGCGAAACGTATTTAAATTGTAAATGTTGTGGATTTACTCTCCAGCACATCGGGTGGCTGAAGTAGTAACGATTTGGCGTTTTGTTTACGTGACAAATCCCTTACTAATTGGCTGTGTCGGGTTGTGGAGGGTATCGACACATTTATACTTACGCGGTCTAACCCAAACCCCTTTATTGTGAATCATATTGGTCGTGTTAAACTGCCGGTGCGTGTTAATGTTGACTTTGTGAACGAATGCGTGTGTGTGTGAATTAGTTAATCAATGTTAACTGGTGGGTGAATGAAAGGCCGTGTGTGTATAAATGGGTACCTGGTGCGGTGTGTAAACATCGCAACTGGGGAGACAAAGGCGGCCGGGCGTGGTGCTGGCCACCGACCCCCTTCGTGTGCCGTGCCGGCCTTCATAGGTGCTCGCTAACGCCACTTGCCCCGACAGTCTGTTGATGCTACACGGGGATCTTTGTCTTGTAGCAGGAGCAGCACTTTAAGAGTGAAGAGGAGCCCGTGGCGGAGACTCTGCACAAGTCGAAGAGTCGTGCCGGTTGTCGTGGTGGTGCCTCTCCATGGCCTCTCAGAACACGGACCCCGCGGCGAGCGCCTCGGCCACCCCGAGGAAGGCGGCGGACAGCGGCAACGCCGTAGCACGGGGCTCTGTGAGCAAGCGGTGGGTGAGGAGGATGGGGCCACGGTCCTTTGTGAAGGCCACGGGCCCCATGCAGGACGACAGGACACGCCACTGTGCCAGTATTACGATAAATGAAAAAAAGCCCTTTGTATCCTGACTATTGGGCCACCCTGTGGCCCAATAGTCGTATTTGCTGTGTAAGTTGAGGATGTGTGTTTTTGTTAAGTATGTCACTTAATAACACTGGGCACTTGCAAACGAGACGTTCAATCTGAAGGATTTTACGGATAAAATATTGAATGCAAAAAAGTAATATACATCAGTATCTGCTTCAGCTCATTAATAGCCAGGCGAGGCTGTGGTTTCACATTGAAATTGTGTATGCTGGGCTGTTATTGCAATGTGATCATATTTTACCATTAATTTATTGATCTGTGTTTTCCTAGGTTGCATCAGGAGCTGATGTCACTGATGGTAAGTACTGTAACCAAGGTATTTTACTTCTCGTATCTTGGTAACTAACGTGATTCGTCGAAACGGATTTTTATCCATGTGAGAGTGGGGGGGGGTGAACAAGAGGGCACGCAGAGCCGAGTGCCGCATTCCACAACCGCAGTGGGGAACATGGCCAGGCCACACCGAACAGATGTCCAATGCGCTTGCAGCAGCAGCAAGCAGCCCCTTGGAAGAGGGGGTGGGGGGGAGGTGCTGTTTGAATCCAACCAAAGAAAAAAAACCCATTGGTTCTGTGTGGAAATGTGAGGAATGGAAATCATGGGAACAGGAGAAAAAAACCCATCGGTTTCCCCTTGCTATCAAGAAAAATTAAAGATTAAGGCTAAAAGTGATATAAAAAAAAGCCTGGTGGAAAGCGTCGAGAAAAAGTACTTTTCATTGCAATTTATGAGAGCACTGATTTAACAATTTTTGCTCAACTTCTTGCATATGTAAGGTTTGAAATGGATATGGAAATTTAAAGAATAATTATTTTACTTTTTGAAGCTCTCTCAAGTCGTAGTGGAAAAATAGATGTTGAGAGAACTGGATAACATCATGACCAATAACGGACTACAGTGGCAAGTTTGTGATTGCGTGTGCGCCGATGGGGCTCGAGCCATGACCAGCAAGTCTGGAGGAGTTCTGGCAACGGTAATGGAAGTTGCGCCCACTACCAAATGCACGCACTGTGGAAGGCATCGTGTGGTGCTCTCGCAGTCAAGACAGTGGCTGTCCACATGAAGGTCGCTTTAGACCGGTCAGTGAAAGGGGTCACTCTTGGTAAAGCATGGCCACTCGGTGCACAGTTTTCACATCTGTGCGATGGCAGCGGGGAGTAACCATGAAAAGCGTCTTCTGCAAACTGAAGTGAGGTGGCGTTCTGGAAAGGTGTCAACCCGTCTGTTTGAACTCCATTCTTAGTTGCACATTTTTTAACAGTGACTTGAAGTGTTGAATTTTCTGACCGTTTTATGGATGAGCTGTGGTTGGCAAGGCTTGCCTATTTGGCAGATGTATTTTCATGTCTTGATGAAATTAATGCTATAGTCTACAAGGCCTGTCTGCGGCAACAGTTACATTGGTGAAACGAAGCGACGTGTCTCAGACCTGGTTCACGAACACAAAGCGGATTTGAAACATGGCAGAACCAACTCCTTGGCGGTGGCGGATCATTGCTTCAACGCTGTGGGCACACGTGACATTGTTTTCTCCGAGACCAAGGTGCTCTGCAAACCCTTGGGGCCACCTTCAGAGATTTGTTCATGAAGCCCATCCAGATATACAAACAGACAAAACTTTAATCGAGAAGATGGATTCAGATTGAGCAATCATTGGAAGGATGTGATTAACTACATAAAGTTTTAACTGCTATGATTTTCACTCACCCACCCGGTTGTCGTCCGATTACGACTTATACTACAAGTCAATTTACTTGCTAATTTCTCTAGCGGCTCTAGCCCCACCCGTCCATGCACGCCACAAACCCTCTCCCCTGTGAGCTCCCACAGCCAAACTCCCCCCCCCCCTTCTCCCCTCCCATGCCTATATAAAGCCACAACAGCAGATCATTTTTTCACATCTGAAGACGGACGCTTGTGTTGCAACCGAAACGTCGTGTTTCTTTTTCTATCTATGTGACTTTACCGAAAGAACCAGAGTACTTATTTTTAAGTTGATGACAAAAAATAGAGCATTTGTAAAAACAAACCCAGCAATTTATTATTCTGGAAATTGAGAGAATTGTCATTCATTTTCAACATGAGATGGTTTTCTCACTGAAAACGGACTGAAACTTCACCAGGACCTAACTGCTGACATTAAAGACCACTCGTGGTCTGACCTAAAATTTCGTCGACTATTTCCCCAAGAGATGTAACAAAAGTCAACTGGATCCTGATATGCATTCGGTTGAAGAAAACCGGTTGACAAACGACGTCTTCGCTGAGGAATGGGAATAGCGAATAGACGTTGCATGTGATGGCGAGTTTCGGCTGGGGTTGAGGGGAAGGCATCTTGGTGAATTTTGGCTCCGAATAAGAAATTCATATCCCCAGATTTCAGACACTGCATTGACAGAGTGATTCCATTCTGCACAGCTTGTCTGTGTGAAACTGTATTCTCTGCTATGATTGTCATTTATAAACAAATACATGACCAAGATACACATGTCGAGCCCAGACCTCCAGCCGAAATTAAACAATATTAATCTGACAACTGCTGTGTCAAGCAAACTCGAACCTCCCATTTGATGTATTTTCCAATTTAAAACTTTTTATATGGCCGCTGTAATTGATAGGAGAATATTTTATAAATACTAAAGGTTTCTGGTGTTCATCTAATACATAATCTGTTACCTATGTGGATACAACTACTTGCTGGTGGTACTTGAGGTTGTATCATTTAGATGGTGGTATGCAATCTGACAGTTTGGGAACCGCTGATGTAGATAATAATTTAGCATTTGCAATGCTGCACAGTTGATTTACCCCCCTTGAGGGCGAGAGGATAGTTCAGAGACGTGGAAATCCACAGACAAGCGGGAAGGCGGCCAGAAGCAGTGCCAACCATTGCCTGAGCTCTGGTCCTATATTAGGATGTTTAGGCAACAAAGTTGAAACTTGAAAATCTAAATGTAAAACTCCTTTCTTTTAGAACTGCTGTTTGTGCTTTCGTTTGTTATCCTTCCCCGCACCTCCGATTAGCGCGGTTGGCTACGTATGGTGCGAAATAAATTCTACATACATATGTACTAACCGTCCCAACCGTGTGTGTGTGCAGATGTCTGGGGACAAAGACGTATCAGCATTTCCGGACGGAGAGAACCTTTTCCACTGGATTGGAACCATCACCGGCCCAAAGGGAACTGTAAGGCACAGAGGAACCTTCCCCTCATTCAAGATCCTCAGGGGGGTGGGGGAGGGGGGTAGATTAGGCTGGAGGAGGTTGCAATTCTGAGATTGTTTTGTTTAACCAAGTGTGAACGCAAGGGCTCAGGGATGAGTCACTTGAAAGTGATCTGGGCCAAATAACGAAAGCAATCACAAAGCTATTAATCAAACAGAAATCGTAAAATTAAACCAACATTAGAAATACAATATATTGTCAGGGAAGTTGGCTTGGACAAATTGAGTTTAAATAGCATAACACATAAACAAAAAATGAAGTGAAGTGTAGGTTTCTTGGTTTATAACTGACCATTTCATCCTGGCTTCATGTGGATGTGTTTTAAATTCCATTTTTAATTTACAATAAGCATACAAATTGTACCCTGCGAGTACGTAATTAAGTTAATTATGTAACATTTTGATTTGGAGTAAATAAAAATGTTACAAATAAACATTCTCCACGTTTTATGTAGGGCTAAGGGGACGGTGATTCCAGCGAAATTGGGAGAACTAATCACTTATTTGATGGAAGTGACGCTTTGGTATTGCAACAAAAATCGATGGATCTCATCGGCACAATGTGAACTGCAAGAAACTGGGAAAACAATGTCAACTTCTCATTTAATTGGCAAACTAAATATTGTTCAAGGACATCGTGGATCATTTTTGTTACATTTCACTCTGAAAAAATTTACTTTGTAATCTGCAACCGAACCTCTTTGTAGAATGCAAGCTATGACATAGTTTAGTGACCATCGGTGTTAATTAACATAGCAACTTGTGGGGCGTAAAATTGTCATTTTTCTCATCAGCTGCTCGTGAGTTCTGTACTCGGAACGTTGTGGACATTTTTCATTTAAACATCGCAGACGATGTTCGACAATACATCGTGAACGATCAAACACCTTCACCGTGCCCATTTTAATGGCTTCAGAATTGAAAATCTTTGTTCCTTCAAATTCTACAAATTGGCATCCTCTTGAGTGAAACTCCTTTTGCATGCAAATCCTAATATCTTTTGGGAGACAGAGCCGATGGCTATCCTTCCCATCGTCGTTGCATCATTGGCAATGGCGACCTCTGTAGTGTTTATGTTGCGCTCCGCTGTGCGCGCACGTTTCCCTTGCTGTAGCCCTGGCTGGTATACTGCGGTACACAATGCTAGCCACCCTGTGTTCCCATGTATAATACAGACTAAATGGGGATCAAAACGATGAAATACAGAGAACAAGAGCAGGGTGGATGGCCCCTAATGATAAAGAAAGAGGATCTGCTCATGCCTCTGTAAAAAATATATTTTTTATCGGCACGTACAGCCGGCTGTGACGTGACTCAGAAATGCTGACGGTGCCAAGGAAAATTAAACCGAAGCTGCCCGCTGTGCAAAGACGCGTAGAGAGACGCACACTTGGAACAGCACTGAGCTTGCGTGCGCGCACGGACTCCGGCCTGCACGATGTGTCATGCCGCCCTCCGTCTGTGCCGGCGAGGTGCACGCCGGCGGTGGGTCGCGGTTGTCTCACGCCCCCCACCCCGCTGCAGGTGTACGACGGCCTGCGCTACAAGCTGTCGCTGGAGTTCCCCAGCGGCTACCCATACAACGCGCCGAGCGTGCACTTCGTCACGCCGTGCTACCACCCCAACGTGGACTCGCAGGGCAACATTTGCCTTGACATCCTCAAGGAGAAGTGGTCGGCGCTGTACGACGTGCGCACCATCCTGCTGTCCATCCAGAGCCTGCTGGGAGGTGCGCCTCTTCCTCCCCCTTCCCCCCCCCCCCCCCCCGTGCATCGTCGGCTCGCCGAGCCACGGTGTCGCCCGTTGCAGTCGACACCGACGGCGATCTTAACTTTGCCACGCCGTTCGCAGGAGTTGTGCTCGTGTAATTGTGCGCATCCAAGTGTGGTATTGACCCCAGTAATTTTGCTTGCATCGAGCTGAAGGGTTGGTTGGTGAGCAAAAATCTACAGCGTTTATAATTTAAAGTACGATGTTTTGCCGATTTAGCATGGTTGCCTACGTATGGTGCAAAATAAGTTCTCCGTGCATACATAGTAATTCGTCGGCACGTTTTGTGTACGTGACAAACTTTTACCAATTGGCTGTGTCGGGTGGAGGTGGGTTTACGACGTGTTTATGTGTTTTAACCCAAAACAAAAATCCTTTATCATGAATTATACAAGACTGAAATACACAAATACCTCAACATGTCATGGAGTGAAATTGCTTTCACAAACTTTAACCTCAACGTGCTGGTATTTTAAATGAATTGTAAACATTATTTTGCTGCATTATGTATAATATAAGCTTTGGAAAAAGGTTGGGATTACGTTTAAATCACTGTACAAGATTGAGAAAATGCTCGTGTAAATTTTAGGTCCATTGGGAGCATCGGGAGATGTTGGTGTTTTCTTTAAGTGTCGTGGTGCTTCATCGTGTGGGGGCGATTCTCTTCCAGAGCCCAACAACGAGAGCCCCTTGAATGTACACGCAGCGCAGCTCTGGCCAAACCAGGATGGTAAAGAGTGTGATCCCTCTTCTCTGCATCTCAGAACATTAACGCACAACAACAACATTTGTAAGGGCTGAGACAGGTTATCGATTAAATAGATGAAGTCGCAAACATCGTCAAATAGTTTTGTAGTGAATTACCTGGGCCCAATAAAAAATGGTGGCCATCCCAAAGGCCTGCCTCGTGATCTGGGCAGCACCATGGCCCCATACCCAGAATGTGTCCCGGCTGCATTTGCTGATGACATTATTAATCCCTGCCCATCACCTCCCGTTCAGCGGCACTTGCGCAAACGGGTAATACTTCAACTATTTTGGTGTTGTCCGATATCGATGATCGGTTCCGTAATCTCGGCTATCGGGGTCGATTATACGTACGTAGCTAATCCGATAGCCGAGTGCCATAGCTGTAAGAGTTTTCATCTGGAAACATGCTTTCAGTCCTGTTGCTCATTACTTTGTTTTTCAAGTTGCAGCATATTCAAAATTGAGGCAGTGAGAAAGCCATATCAGACGAATCTTGTAAGCTGTGTGCTGTAACCGAAGCCACGAGTGGGCACTTGTGGCCATGGTGCTCCATCCTCAAAGTGTAAGGCCTGTAGGAGGGGGTGACGGAAGTGAGGTGATGCACGGGATGGAATAGCTGCCAATGCAGTGAGATGCACACGTAATAATGCAGTTAATATTTGAAAGTAACGTCGGATAAGTAAGGTTCGTGATGCACGGAGTGCTCTCAAGTGTGCGACCACCACAGAGGAAATGGTGCAAGAATCTCGTGTGTAGCGGTGGGGATGGATGATGGGCACATCGCAGGGGTTGTGAGAGGGATGGCGACTGCGTGTGGACGCTTTCATCCGGCAGTGCACTGACCATGGCTGACGAATATATAAACATACATTTTGTTTAATTGTTAATGTTTGTGTGTATGTAGATTATATTAAAATAAAACATCATGCAAAATTTATATATATGGAAAAAAAAGCTTTTAGGGAACTGAACTACATTTTTCATATTTGGTCATCGACATCAGTGGTTCTTAACCTGGGGTGCATGACATGGCCGGATCTTTTTAGAAGGCAAATCCTCAACACAAATTAAGCAAGGGCATGCAAGTTACAACTTGCTTTGTTTCATCAAGCCCTGTGTATTTATGAACGTACATTTTTGTAATGCTTAAAAACCAAAGGGGGGTGCAAGGCTGCAGCAAAGATTAAGAATCACTGCTCTGCGTTGTCTGGTTTAGTTTTCCGACTCTCACTAAGGGAGGGAGAGGTGCCCTCCGAATGTTAACTTTCACCACGATCTATTTCTTAAGTCTGGCTTTATGTTTCCGGATTTACGCTTGCATAAAGTGTTGCAGGTTAACTCGTTCTCGTACTTGTCTCTCTCGTGCAGAATACAAGCAGCACTTGCTGAAGCAGTACGAGACAAAGTCCTGATGAGAGCATCGCCGACATGACATCCCCGTCGCTCATTAACACTCTCCGCTCGCCTCGTACACTCATCACGTACACTCATCACTCACCACGTACACTCGCCTCGTACATTTACCACTCGCTACGTACACTCGCATTGTACACTCAGACTTGGGCTCCAGGTGCAATTTTGGGGGCTGTTTCATTCTGTTCTGACAATTGTCCACGTGTTGCGGTCCTTGATTTTAATGGAATCCTTTTATCACGATGTAAACGAGCAGACCGTGTCTCCTTCACCTGTTGTCTCCACATGAAAAAGAAAAGTGTTTCTTATACAATTCATCAGCTGCCCAGGGGGACCGCATCATCTTGGCAGCCTTGATTCTGAACAAGCAGACTCTAGACCGGTTTCTACATCAGCGAGTCTGGTTTTAATGTGTTGGTGAAACTGCATTGCTTCGAGCAAGCTTGAGTGCTGATGAGACGCTGTCAAAGCTGCTTGTATTGCATCAATTGAGTCAACGTTCGCGTGTAAAAGCAATACTTTTATTTTCAATGTGGAGACACACATGTGCGAAGGCGACGGTCAGCTTTATTGCTTTTTACGGAACCAGGTTTTTAGACATTTTCACTCGTGAGCTCGTTTTTACTCCTTTTTAAAGATAATTTTCCTGATAAGTGAACTCAAGCCATGAGCCAGGGCATGACGCTTGGAGCTGAGAACGATCACTTTTTTAAATAAGTGCGTCCGGTCTTCTGTTTTTTTTGCCTTTCTCCAAGAACGTTTAATCATGTTGCAAGGGACATGCACATCCTTGCTTCATATTTATGGTTTTAAATGTCTTGCTTTTTAAATCTTTCACTTGTGTATAGCTTTGATCATGTTGGCTTTGATGGCCGAGACTCTTTTTGCATCATGTTATGGCAGTCTTAAGCCCAGGTGTCCTCGGTAGCGGTGTTCTGTAACGCACGGCGCTGCATTGCTCATTAATCATGTGCTCGATCATCTATGCAGGATCCTTTTTGGAGTCGCTGAACAAACGCGGCTGTGTAGCAGCATGGACGGGGTTGTTAGGTGTCCACTTTTATCTGTATTTATTTTCATGTAATTAAACTGGTATTAAATGTTGCAACCTGTAAACTGATTTTTGTTCTGGATGACACCGATAGTTTGAGCACATTGTTGCACAGACTTAATGGTTGACCTGCGTGTATTTCAAAAGCTATCTTCGATTTGGCTTAATTGCTCTTGACATTCTGTTTCATTCTCTAAAATCTCTTTGATTCTCCACATTTATCATTTCTTCTATGGCTTCCACCTCTTTCCGATATTAATTCTCATCACAGAGGACATTTCCTCGTCCCTTGACAGCCACGTTACCCAAAATTCCTTCATCCTTTGTGTTGTCCGGCTCAAACAGTGGTGGCTCCTCGGAATTGGAGTGGATTTGAGGATGAACACCTTTGCCTGGATACCAAACTGTCTCGCCAAGGCTACGAACCCCACTCGATCACCTGCTCTATACCCACCGCGATGCAAGTGCTGCCACTCGCAACCCTGTGTACTCGGTCTTTCATATGGGCCGATGTAGATGCAGAGCAACGACTCCAATTTCACATTCGGATGGTCGTCAAGCCCAGATAACCGCCTCCGGAGCAGCGGAGTGTCTTGCCGTGATGTCTCGTTAGTTTTTGTGGCTTGGGCATTGCATCGTTATACATCTTGTTCTGGATGACCAGTCGCACAAATGTGAAACGTACTCAAATTGAAAATGTCGGTTTCCTCTCCAACACCGGTGTGCTGAATTAGTCACTGATTGGCATGTTTTTTAGAGTGACAAACCTTACTAATTGGCTGGTGGTGGTGGGGTTAATGACACGTTTATATTTACGCGATAAACCCAATTTTTTTATGGACATTGGTCACGAAAGCCTACGTGTTTAACCGACTACTGGAGAGTTTTACATTTTCCATGTGTGCATCGGATATCTGCATCTCCTGCCACGGTTCGTGCAGTGGATGCGGTTTAGCGTGGAGCATGAGAGCGGCTTCCTGGAAGATAAAAAGCCGGGCATCTGCGTTGGGTCAACTCGGTGGCAGCCGTGAGGGGACTCCTCGTGACGGTTTTACCACAACAGTTTCTCCGCTGCTGCCACCGCTCCCCTTTGCAAGTTGTCCCACTCCACCGTAGCTGCACCGGACACTCCCGGGTCGCGATTTCCTCCGTCACCCCGGTGTTGGCCTCTCACTTAAGTTTCCACATTTACATTTGCTATGAATCCCATCTCTTGTGCCCCTCTCCTGAGCTCATCTAATACCCAGAATCCGCGGTCGATGTTGTCTGCTGGCCGAGTCACTCTTGAATAACAGATGTGGAGCTCAATGCACTTTAGTCGGTAAATACACTTAATCTGATGTCGATCCACCACCGCTTCCCCCGGAATGACTTTACAGGCTAATATCCTTTCATCTTGGCCCTCTGGTATCGATCTCAATTGCTCTTCTGTATTAGCAACAGCTCCACATTTTCCCACATCTCTGGGATTTTTACGACTTAATGCTGTTTTTATGGACTCTCCCGTGGAAAATCCTTTTCCTCTTCTCCCAAGGTGACCATTTATGGTCCGACCTCTTTCTGGCAATTAATACACTGACCTCTTCAAGGCGACTAAATAGTTTTCGTCGTGACAAGCTGCCGACCGACGGGTCTCCTAACTCCAGCTGCGCACATCGTGGCGAACAGTAGTGCATTTGGGTCTTCTCTCAGGATGGAGATTAAAACCTTGGCAGAACAGGCTCAAGCCCACCATTTGTCTCAGGAGGTTTAGTTTTGTTGTACGAAATTGGCCGTTTTCACTGACGGGAGGAGCATTTGGCGACAATTTAAGGCCCCAGAAATATTCGACGCGAAGGAGTTGAGCATGGAATCGGAGCCGAAGGGTCTCGCGTTGCCGGCACACTGCCCACAAGCCAGGGGCGTCTCGTATTTTTTTCATATCTCTTGCCGCTCCGCTATGAATTAGCGGTATGATATTCAAACTATGCCGTGATTGTCCTAGGAATTTCCCATGTGTTATGTGGATTCACAATTTTTTTTCTGTACAATTCAATACAACTTAATGATCTGGTTTAGTCACCAAGTGGCCCAGTGATTTTTCACCGTCGCCTGAAAGACGTACAAATTAAAGCCACACGCAACACAATGTGGAGTGACAATTGGGATTTCAATGAAGAATATTGAAAACGTGTAAAGGTGGTCCACAGTTGGCCACTAGCGCTGAAACTTGAGAGGCCATGGGCTACGGTTTCCATTGGTATATTTAACATAATCAGAATACTATAAGTATTTATTATACTGAAGGAATCTGATGAGCTATACAGCTCTTTTTCCATAAATGTCCAGTAGGGGCAGGTCAGAATGATACAGAAACACGATAAGAGTGAAAAGTATAGGAAAGGTAAAGAAATCACTTAAAACAGATACCGCAGGTGTGCTAACAGGCCACAACTACATGCATGCCTTGCATGCAATGTGATCAAATTTCAGCCTTTGCTTGATCACAATTAATTTCATCAATGTTTGCTATTATTTGCTGCCTGTCCTAATGGGGATGAGACTAGCCTACAGTAATCTGTTAACTGCTGCTGCCTGTTGGAATGGCCACATTTTTCAGTTCTTGAACCGGTCCAAACAACATGTTCCGCTCTTGAACTGTAAATGCAACGTTATCACATGACATGTATGCAAGGCATGATGGGAGTTCTTTCCTGCAATTCACAAGCAGCAGCACCACCTTTTGTGTTTAAACCTTTTTGTCTCCAGCCTGCACGCTGCATTCTCCTGTCATGACGAGTTTCCTCATCGTTCGCAAACGTTGGAATTGAAATACGATTTGAGTTGGCGAGGTTGGTCGTGTTGAGCGAGCGTAGAGTTTTACCACGTGTGCACACCAGTCATCTCAGTCGGTCAACCCATGGCACCACCTGGGTCTGTCCCGTAACCTGCCAGCGGGCGTTCGACACTTCAGGTGGCCTTAACGTGCACATGGCCTGGCACAAGCGCCGTGGTGACTTTCAGCGCCACTTAGTGGCAAACGGCGGTTGCTGCTGTTGCATACTCGACGACTCGTGAAGGCATCACAAAGGCAGGCAGCAAAGATTCAAGCGAATAAAACAACGCTTTTATTTAGAAATTCTTTACAAAATAACACCGCCGTCTTGAGCGCAAGAGCATGGGGTTTATTTTTTTGGATGGAAGAATTTGAAGGCTAAAACAGCTTAGGGCATCATAGTTTGAATTTCTGTCGTGAATATTTTGTTGTATCAATACATGAAAGTACATTTCACACAAGGCATCTAAACTAATTAAATTATAACAGATAAGGTTGTAATTTATCCCTATGTTCAACTACGAATAGTCATGAACTCCAGCTTCAATGTGATGCATCAAATAAAAATGCATTCACATGTCTAGGAGTAGTACACTGCTCTCCACTTTAATACATTTCTATCCAAGTCTGCACTTGTACGTTGTGAATGGGGACAATGCTAACCTGCATACAGATCCAGGGCAGATTCTGGCACTATGGCAGAATCCACTAAGGCGGCTTAAGTGTACTGTAAACACTGCATCCTTTTTCAAAGATGCATTTGTGTTTAAAACAAAAAGAACCCCCGTTTAGCCTTGCAGACCATCAAAGTGCAGTCGGCGAGCACCTAGTAAGGCCAGCATGGCATACAGCAAGGGGATGGTGTGGTCAGCACCATCGTACACCTGCCCACCTCTGTCTCCCCGCACCAACGTCCACGCGACGCATTACCCTTCACTGGGTTTGACCGAATCGACGCGTGAAGGTCCAATTGAGGTTTATATACAAATTTATGTTGGTGACGGTACGCGGGGGGCGGGGGGGCGAGAGCGGAACTGGGATCAGAAGGGATCGTGGCATCGTGCGCCACCCACTCCGCTCCCCGCTGCCCCACGTTCACATTCTGCATTTAGCTGGCGTGCACACAATAGCTCACCCTTTTCAATGATATCACTGGGTCTTTTTTTTTTATCATGCTCATCCCCTTAGAAAGGCTGTGCCCCGCCGCTGTGGTACGAATGCCCAGCAGAAAGCATCGGTAACTGTCGCACGCGTCAACATTTTAAGAACCTGCATGAAGAGGCCGGCGGTGAGGGCGCTGTCCGCCGGACTGCCCTACGACCACACGACTGTACAACCAAAACTAGCCGACTTGCGCTCCGTTCGGAGGAAACTCCGATCCTGATTTGTGTTCCAGTTCAGCGACGAAGGAGCCAGCCACACAAGACAGAGGTGGGGGGGGGGGGGGTATTAAAGGGGGGAGGTTTCTATGCTCCTGATTTCATCGCAGCACAGGAGGTACCTCCCGCGCTGCGATTCATGCCCCTGGGACCCGGCCAGGATTAGCCGTCGCTCGGTCCCTGCGAGTATCTCCGTGCCTCCCTCACGTTCTTGACGTACGCCACCACCAGGCCGTCCACCTTGCTGGGCACGATCACCTCCGCCGAGCTGTGGGAGATCTGACACGCGAACCACAATGACGATATTAGCCATGAATCGCCGAGTTCACAGCACTGCGCCACCACTCTGCCCCGAACGATAACATAACTCAAATATTAAAAAAAAACAATCATCGTTCATTTAAATCGAGCGGACGTTGCGTGTGAGCTCTGCCTTCCCTTGAGGTCGATGGCCCCGATGCTGCCCACGTTACCTTGTGCACAGCCTTGCGTAGGATGTCCTTGTACTCCTGCTTGCTGATCTCCTTGCTCAGGTAGAAGGGCTTCAGGGCACGCTTGGCCTCCTCTTCCGCCTTCTTTTGCCGCTGCAACTTCTGCTCGTACTGCAAGCAACGGCAGCCCTGGTTATTACTGTGGAGATATTAACCCAAAATACTACACGCCATCTGTTTTTCAAATGGACGTTGAGCGCCAAAGTCACTGCCCAAATTTGCCCAAAATTTTTTTATTACACCGTAAATTATTCAATTGGGATTACACACCGCAAAAATCATCCCTCCCGAATGTAAAACTACTGCATACGGTCTGTGAAACCCAGCGCCTTTGTGATAGCCTCGAGCTATAAGAATGGCACAAATACAAAATGTCAGTTCCAGAAATACGAACATCCGCACTTACGAATGAACTGCTCTCAGATGTTTTTATATTTAACCATCCGACTTGCTAACGGTCGCTCGTACTTACGAACCGAATTGCAGAACTATTTTGTTCGACGGAGCGATCTTCTCGAATGAGTCCCAGTAACTCGCTGGGACTCATTACGCCAATTCTAACAAGCAAGCCAGCATCAGGACTCAGGGTCAGTGAAAAGATAACTTATTTTTTTCATTTTACTTTATTTTATGTTTTATTGACTATACAGTATTTATTACAGTATTTCATGTACAATGTTTCTTATTTATGAGTTTAACAATGGTTTCCTTTTTTGTTGAACCATAACACATTTTAGAACACTGTCGACTTACGAACGGGTCTCAGGAAAGTAACCTTTAGTCGAGGGACTGCCCGTACTAAACTCTAGTTTTCTCCAGCAAACTACTCCCACATCTCATACCAGAAAGCCTCGCCAGTGTAAAGCCGATGGGCAAAGCCATCATATCTTTGTCAGTTTAATTTAAATGCTGGCTGCTCGGCAGGGGTCCCACGTACGTTAATGAGCGTGACGTCGATGGAGCTGGAGTTGGAGGCGGTGCTGTTGCTGCTGCTGTGACTCGACTGAGAGCCCGAGCTACGGCTGTGCGTCTCCACCTCCGTCTGCTGCGGCCTGGCCGCGGCGGACGGGCCTGAGCGCGTCGCCGCAAGAGGACAAAGAAGGGTGCCATCGCAACCAATCAGTTTCGAAGACGATGCATATTTTGTTAGGGCATGTTTTGCTGGCATGTTTTGGCACAAGTACGTGTGGTTAATGCAGACTTGGTGCCTTGCAAAAAGGTACATATTTGGTGTTTGAACAGCTTAACACCTCCTGTTTAATTGCCAGAAAGGGTAAAACCTATTCTTATTTTTCATCAACTTTCACAAACTTGGCTGCCAGTGTTAGTCTTGAACCCGGTGATTTAAAACAAGAGAGAGAGAGGAGAGAGAAGGAATAAAAGTGCAACAACTCACGATGAACCATATTAAATGAACAATCAAAATTATTTCCTGCTCAGATGAGTGTGGAGGTGGTATTCATCTCCTCGTTACAGTCCTGAGCCAGGGCTGTAACCAGGAGATGTCTCTCTAATTCCAAGCGTGCACCTCTTCAATCAACGTTTGTTCCATTATTATTAATACATTGTTATTAATCAATGTTTGTCAAACAATAACTATTGACATCACAGTGATTGCTAAGTAGGCATTGGAAAGGACCACGTCGCTACAAGTCGCGACGGCCGGTGGCCCGACACTAAAGCGTCGCAGCCAAGAGAGGGGAACACGGCCAGGAGCACGTCCACTACGGAGGCAGAGCGATGGAGCGGAGCTGCGTGCAGCAGCTGGGTGCATTGTCGCATCGCAGAACCACCACAGATCTGGCAGACGAATCTGGGAGGCCGTCATTGAGCGGTGGAGAGATCACGGCCGATGGCGACGAAGTGCATCGCGGGGCGACGACACGCGGAGGGCGCTCACCCGTGCCTGGCGACGCGTGCTCTCTCGTGTCCGTGCCGGCCGGGCTCTCCTTTGCCGAGGACCCCGTGCCGGGCCACGGCAGCGCTCCGTTGGCGAGGCCGCTTTGAGCGAAAGAGTCTCCCCTTTGCGCACGTCTACACGCCAGCCCCTGCAAGCGCGGGTCCAGTGCGCGAGAGGGGTCGCGCGACAGCGAGGCGGAGGAGGAGGAGGAGGAGTCCACGCGGTCGTGCCCCGAACCGCCGTCGGCCGGGTGCTCCAGCCGAGGCCTCTTCCCCGCGCGCTCCGCGGTGGACCCCCCGACCGCGTGGCCGGACCTCGCCGTCGTTTGGGCTGCGGCCGAGTGCGTGGACTCGCGTGGGGAGCGCGGGTCCTGCGCGTGCCGCACGCTGCCGGCGGCGGCGACGTCGCCGGGCGCGCGCTGCGGAGCGTTTGAGGCGGGGGCGCTGCCGCCCCCTGACCTGGCAGCCGCCCCTGTCGCTGCGGGCAGGTGTCTACGGACGTGGGGAGATGCGGCGGAGTTTCCGGGTAACTGTGAAGGTGGACCGGGATCCTCTTTGACAGTCCTGGCCGTGGGGCTTTTGACTCTCTCCACTTTCAAAGTTCTGCCAGTCGAGTCGGCCGTTTTTGAAGTCCCTGTAAAAAGGAGAGGTTAATGAGGTCCGCTCACGGGTGCTCAGAGCCCATTGCTCGGAATGAAGTCCTCTCGGTATCCTGCGTTTGCACGTTTCAATGACGGGGCCAGTTTCTTCAAAGTACAACCACTGGTGACGTCTTATAAAGCGGTGCTCATAATATATTTTTTCTGACGTATTATAACAGGCGTGGAGTGGTGGCACAGTCGTTAGCGCATTGCTCTATGAACCCAGCAAGCCACATTATATGTTCCCAGCTCCGGCGAACATCAGCGGCAAGTGACATTCAAAGCGCAGCTGGGCACGTCTACTTCACAGACTCGCACTGACCAGCTCGCCGAAGTGTGGCTAAACAACCCCCACGACCGACACGGCATGGGCATGGGGCTGCCCTCATCAATCAGCGGGTGACCGAGGGCTGTCGATTAATGAACGACAACGCGGGGAAGTCACCGTAACCCAGGCGAGGGGGTGGGGGGGAAGGAGTCAACCAGGTAGTGACGCACCGCGCTGCTGTGGCGGCGGCCCGGCGGGCTGCTTGGCACGCAGCAGGCTGCCGTCCCGGTTGATGATGGTGCCGGTGCTGCTGGTGAGCAGCATGCTCTGCCCGGCGAGGATGCTGCCCAGCACGTCCTCCACCGGCCCCGGCGCGGGCACCGCCGCGGCCTTCGCAGGCTCACACGGCTCCTCCGCCAGCCTGCGGTAAAGCACAGCGGCAGCGAGCGCCGCTCAACACGAGGCAGCGGTGCCCTCACCGCTGACTGTGCTCGTACCGAGCTCGGTGTACTTTTGGGTCATGTGCGGTGGGGAAGCCCGCTGGTAGGAGGTCACGGGCCAGACACAGAGGTTATGGCTCAGGGAACAATTGCTGTTTTGTCATCAAGGCACTCTACTCGTCGTTGTGAGCATCACTCCACCTCATTAAGCACACGCCTTGGTACTTGGAAACACATGTAATGTAGAGACTGCCAATTCACATTAAGATACAGCCGGTGGATGCGAGGACATGTATACATGCGATTCCCATGTCACTTAGAGAGCTTCGATTCAAACTTGGAGATACTGTGTCCTGCATTCAGAGTCGATTACAATGAATCGGCACTTCAAATTAATTGCGCGCTCTCTACGTCACATGTGACGTGGTTAAACGATCCATCGGGAACGTGCGACGCATCTAAATTTGTTATTTGAACAGAGATGATTAACACAGGAAGGCGAAGTCTGGTGAGCCGCAAAGACTGGGAGCTGGGTCCGTTCTCTGCTCACTGCGCGCACGTGTGCGCACTGCACGCACGTGTGCTCACTGCACACACGTGTGCGCTGGGGATACGCACTCCGAGCAGTCGTACCCGGCGAGCTGCGACGGGATGGGCCGCGCGACTGGCCGGTGGGAGCGCATGGCGAGCTTGGAGAGTCCGTGTTGTTTGGCCCCGGCGTGGAGCTCCGCTGGGAGGGAGCCACTGCTGCACGGCTCCGGCTCGCTGTGGAGACAAAGCGATGCATGCAGCGGCAGTGCTTCCCCGGCGTCCTCTCGCTTCTTCCTCTTTATCACTGCATCGTGCACTTTCAGATGAGCTTCTGAGGCCGTCTGGAATGCTCTTCCTTCCGATATGAGGAATCCAATGGAGCTATGCAGTTTTAAGTCTCTATTGAAAACGAATTTCTTTAGAGCTGCTTGTTGTGTTTAGTTTGTTGTCGTTCCCCCCGCACCTCCGATTAGCACGTACGGTGCAAAAAGAAGTTCAACAACATACGTACAGCATCTCATCACGACCGACGCACCTTTCCGTTTAACCACAGCCACACTGCCAGATGCCAAAGTGACCCAACGCTTAAATGAGCATGCGACAGTGATTGTCGTTTCTTACGCAACGTGAACAAACTGCAATTCTGGCAACTGCCTGATGATGAGGGTTGCAACTCCCAACCAAACGCCGAACACAATTGTTGTGGATAGCGCTACTACCACACAGCGGTTGTTCACGTAACGACTTTATTAAATGGTTGTGTTGGGTGGAGGAGGGTGTATGACAAATTTTACATACACGTTACAATGAAATGTTGTGGCTTTGCTCTGCAACACACCGGTGTGCTGTACTAGTAACGAATTGGCATGTTATGTTTACGTGGCGGGTTTAACGACTCATTAATATATTTACGCGATCTAACCCAAAAAAACACGTATTATGGAAAAAATCAACATATGTATGAACTTCTTTCACACTGTATGTAGCCAACCGTGCTAATCGGAAGTGGGAGAGGACAACTAAGCACTAAAAGCAGTTTTAAAGAAATTAGTTTTAAATTTAGATTTATTAGCTTCCTAATATCGGAAGGAAGAGCGTTGCAAACGGCCGCAGACGCGCATCTGAAAGCGCGCGATGCAGTGACCATCTTTGTTCGATGACGAGCCAAAAGCCGCTGCGAGGATGACCGGAGTTCTCACCACCAATGATGAATCGGCAAGCATCCTTCTAGGAGGCCCACCTGTCATCCTCGGGGGCGAAGTCATTGACATTGCCGAAGACGGAGAGCGCCGTGACCCCGATCTCCATCCTCTGCATCCCCAGGGGGGTGTTGTCCTGGGCCCGGTACACGGAGGGCACGGACTGCCCGTGCATCGGCTTGCCGAGGTGCAGGCTACGGGCGATCCGCATGCGGGGCGTCACCACCCTGGGCTGCAAAACACAAACAGCAACGCCGGGCGCTTAATACGGGAATAATAGGCAGGGAAGGAATCCGCCTGAATGCCAGAATTACACTGAGGTCCAGTAGCATCGCTCATGAGATTCCTCACAGTCGAGAGAGTGCCTATAACCACCGCGAGGTGGTGGCGGCACTGACTTTGAAGACCGGTGCGTGACCGTCCACAAAACATTCCACGACTGTGGAGATGCCTCTGAGCTGCTGCCCTTTGATCTGAGACTCGGGCAGCGTCGCAAGTCTTCCCAAGGTCTGTAGGTCGGAACTCCTTTCATCCTCAGTTACTAGTAATAACAGTAAAGGTGTCACATCCTATTAACCATTATTTATAAACAGGGTGATGACATTAATTATCCATTTAATAATTAATGACCATGTAAAAGATAACAGCTGATTATGTTCTCGCCATCACCAGTCCTTGCGGGGAGATGTGGATCGGCACATCCGCTGGGCCACTTCGTTGAGCAATCATTTGTGGCCAGGTCGCTTCTGAAAAATAATTTATAATTCAGTGGGCTTTACCTGCTAAGATAAGTAGTTTATTTCTATTAATTTATAGTGATTTCCTTACCTTTCCTATACTTTACACTAATATTTTTTTGTATTGTTTGTCATAATTTTCTGACCCACCCCTACTGGACATCCGTGAAAAGAGCTTCATAGCTCATTGGATAAGTTACCGAGTCAATTAATGAGTTGGTCGGTTTAAGTGGGTGGGTGGATAAGTTAGCAATGCACCATCTTGAGCCGCTGCCGCTTGAATCTGCGCTTTTTCCTGCGCCCCTTCCGCCTCTTGCCAGGCTTGGCAGTGCCTGTGCTGCTGCTGCTGCCCAAGAGTTTCTTGACTCCTGTTTTGCGAGCGGTGGTCTTTCGGCCTTGGCGTTTCGTGCGGCGCTTTCTCCGTGTCGCTGTTTCCAAGGCACAGGGTAGAGCAGGGAGATGAAAAAAAATACCATCGTTTGGTTAAAACAGTGCTTTTGTAGAGTACACGACGATTGGTAACTAATGCTCAGGCTCTTTATTCAGCCAGTCGCACAACAGCGCACTCGCGTAGGAAGCACAATGCAAAACGCAACCCCCCGTTCTCCACGCGCCCCCTTTTATCCCATTCCTTCTAACCAATCCCAATTAAGTTACCGCAATAATGGGCATTTAACCGGGTCTATAAATGGTGCGATACTCTAATAGAAGACATCGGGAGGTGAGGTATTGATGGTCTAATAGCCAGCAAAGTAATCTAGCAGAAGGAAGCGATTATGGTAAAGGTGGCAGAGAAAATATTGACCATGAAACCTTTACCCTGCAACTAAAATGCAACTGAATCTCAAGGCACTTTTTGCAAAATGTGGGGGAGCAGAAAATCTGGGGGGGCGGGGTGGCAGGGGTGCGTGTGATCGTGTGCGGTGGCCCTGGCAATGCCTCACACTGGGTTTGTTACCTTTCCTCCGCTGAGGGCCGCCCTCGGGCCTGTAGTAGATGGCCGTGCTCGCTCCGCATGCCACCGCATTGATGGCATCGTCCACCGACGGCGTGTCTGGTACCTGGCTCACCGCACGCTGCGCACCGCAGACACGGGCGCGCGAGAAGAGGCCCGAAAACGTGAGCCACTGTTCTCCAGGCAAACTGTTTCTGTGAGTTGACGACGAGGTGGTAAGCAAGACTTTCTTTCGCAGGGACATGCTACTTGCCAACCAGTTGAGGCGGCACCCCGATAGCCTCCTGGAACTGCATGCCTTCTGTTGGGCACTTTGGCGTAACCACGCCTCTCGGCTCCAAGATCTCGACAAGTGCCTCCAGTGTCTCCAGCAGCCTACGTCATCAGTCCTGGACACAGTCAGCCTGGCACTCATGGATGAAGTCTGGAGTATGGCAAAGCTGATCATCATGGCAATCTGCTGCCACCAGCTCTCCCAAGTTGGCTCGTGACCAACACGTGAGTTCACCCACACCAGACTCCATACATAGCTCAAGGTGGAGTCCCAGCTCACGCCAACGTCAGACGCTTCAACAATGGCATCTTTACTTGGCCCTCTTATGGCTAAATGGTGGCAATTTAGCCCTCTCTGAGGTCTTACCGTTTCTGGGCCACCCTGTGCAGCTGAAAAGCTGCATTATGAAATAACCTATGTGTGCGTGCTTGATGTGGATGTTGCCAGGCTCTGGAATGTCTTCAGGGATCCCATCCACGCTCAAGTGTTTGTGTCAAGGAGACCACAGGCTGTGAAAGCGTGGGCTCACCCTGATCTGCTGGGTGCGCGTGATGCGGCTGATGTTGACGCGTGTGCGAACGATCTCGCTCTGCCGCGTCCTGGCGATGACCCGCCTCTGCCTGTGGCCAACGCCCAGCGGCCCAGCTCCCTCCTCTCCGGCTCCTGGTGGGAAACCTCATCAAGGCCCGCAATTCTTAAGTCACGGCTCGGCTCTGGCACAAGTAAGCCGGCTCGAACGTGTGCTTGACTTGAGCTGGCTCCGAGCGTCGTCCCAACCGTGGCTCAGGATTTCCATGAGCTGAGCCAGGAGCCGAGCCACGACTGAGGACCGCGTATCCACTCGCGGGTGTTTGGAAGCAAGCCAGCAGCCTAAGCCTGAGCCGATCCATGTCAGAGGCAGCTTAAGAATACGGCCCTTACATCAAGTGAGATCACACTGAGATTGACTATAATTTTGAAGCAAAGACTTTGGAGCAAAGTTATGCAAGGAATATTTTATCATATTCCACAATATTGCGGGGTTGTGGTGGCACGCTGCTGTAATGCGGCACCTCACCTGGTTAACATGAGGGCAGGGATGCTCTACGTCTGCGAACTGGTGGCATTGCGGTTAGAGCGCACAGCTCGTATTTAAATCCTAGCATAGGTCGACTCAACCCGAGCAGAGGTCGACTCAACCCGTTGTCTCTTTGCGGGTGAGTAAAATGAGCACCAATTTTTGTGGGAGGTCAACAGTGGTTGTCCACGGAAAAACCCAGAAACCATTTATTTCTTAGTTTTAGTAAATGAAACTTCCGCGAAGGAAAGAAAAAGCACTCTTGAAATGTTGGGCAATAGGTTGTAGAGTCTGTAGTCACTCCCTTGTTCCAGCACTTGTCCCACTGAATTTATTTCACTGGCAGTGCCACGGTCGGCGATGGGATCTACCCCAGGCCCACGGACGTTTATTTACATCCCCCTCGAGTGACCGCATCGCCCACCTGTCTGCTGGCGCACGGGTCTGCACTGCGGGCAAAACCACTCCTCCACAGGCACCGTGTCGAGCGCGGGATCCAGGCACTCCATGTGGTACCTGTCGCACACAGCACAGTGTTCAACTTAGGTCAGTGTCCTTTAGGGACGGTGACGCGGCCCTGCGGTAGCGCGTTCGCCGCTTGTTGCAGAGGCTCGTGGTTCAAATCCGGCGGAACGCCTTGGTTATTACCGTGGCAGTATTAACCATACGAATAAGCACTGACCGCTTCAAGGTGGACGTTGGAGATCCCCCTCATGTCATTCGAAATGGGGAGGCCATTGTGTGTTGGGATCATGGTACAAAATTTGTCATGTAAAAGACAAAAAATACTTACAAATGACTGAATATGGATTACACACAGTAGGTATAGGGCAAGCCTCCCTGAGTCTCAACACTCGTTTTCAGGAGGGCTGTGCCAAGTTTTCGCAGAAGGGGGCAATGTTGCTGCTGTGTGTAATCCCAATTGATGCATTTAGAGGTGATTTTTCAGCACTGAGATGTTTAGCAAAAACCAGCTGTATATATTGTGCAATTTACATAGTTGCGCGAGGAAACCGGAGAACCCTCGGAAATAGATGCAGAAAGAGCGGAGAACATACAAAGCCCAAACATTTACAATTTGAGTACAACGATGTCTCCTAAACGTTGTGCATTTACTCTCCAACACACCGGTGTGCTGAACCAGTAACTAATTAGCATGTTTTGTTTACGTGACAAACATTACTAATTGGCTGCGTCGGGTGGTGGTGGGTTTAATGACACATTTATATTTACGCGATATAACCCATAAAAACCTCTATCGTGGATAATATTGGTCGCGAAAGGCTACCACGCGTTAAATGTCCAAACCCAACGCAGAACGACGGCGGAGTCAGCGATTGTGATGCACGGGTGTTACCATCGCAGCACGCTGCCCCTCACCCAGCGTCGCAGCCGTCGCACAGCAGCAGGCGGTCTTCGCGATCACTGCTCCGGCACACCTCGCAGAACGTGGGCTCCTCCTCCTGCCCGCCATCTTTCGCGGCGCCCAAGTGATCCTGCACTGGCACCTGCACACGTGCAGCGCAAGGCGCGCGCGGGAGGATCGACCGCGACGGTTCGTCACCTCCCCTCCCACAAGAGCTGTATCAGGAGGCCACTGGTGCTATGCACTTTTAAGTCTAGGTTGAAAACGAATTTCTTTAGAACTGCTTTTTGCGTTTAGTTTGTTGTCGTTCGCCCCCGCACCTCCGATTAGGACGGTTGGCTACATATGGTGTGAAAGAAGATCCACGTGCATACATGACACACAGCACGATTGTAAAGCGTTCTTCGTATCACAAAATTAATCTTCTTCTTCGTATGGCTGATGTTGATGTAGAACAACAGCTATTATTTTACATTGAGGTGGCTGAGTCAGATGATTGCATCAGCAGCAGCAAAGTGTATCGTTGTAATGACGTATCCTTCGTGTTTGTGAATCGGCCAGCGAGTTGTTCTATGTTCCGTGGTTCTGGGTGACCGCAATCGCACACTGGAGAGTTTTTATTTAATGCATCATCAAGTTCCGCAATGGAAATGATTTGTGAGGATGCGATTGAGAGTTGCCCTAAACCTGCATCCTCTTCAGTGACCTACATCCAGTGGCCAATAAACCTCTTCATCTCAATATAGAAGCCTTTCTTCTGACGCGTCCTCAATTGTGGCGGACGTGGCTGTGTTAACCTCTACAGCTGATGCACAGCATCTCCTGCTCAGCTCGTTTTTTGACGATGATATAAACAAACAAAAAAGAGGACAATGTAAAAAAAATCTAACGCAGGAGAAAAGTCTCCAATTTGGAGTTGAACAGGGTGAGGGAGACAGCAGTTGGTAGCCGTGTGAACATGTAGTTCGATCGGATTCACATTCAGATGGGAAATTCATCAAATGGAATCAACAGAACCACGTAACCCTGACAATGGCGAAAACACGGGGTACATACGCACCTGCCGTAATACCGGGCCTCCCACGCAAGCGCGGACACTGACACTGGTGAACACTTTTCGGTCCACGGGGCAGGAATTCATGTTCTGAAAAGACACGCAGACAAACAGTCAGTCAATTAGCCAGCGCCCGACACCATCACCAGGGTCTGCACGGGGAAGAAAACAACTTGACTCACATTGGTTGAAAGTATAAGCAGCCGGATGGTGCTGCTCTGGTTTTAGCGCACATCTTGCAATTGGAAGGCTGAAAGTTTACATCTCAGTCAGGGGGTTAAACCTTGAATATCATTCCTCTGGGGGTGATAAAAATTAACCCGTAAAAACAAAGTTTTTCACTATAAATCCTTTATATGCGTGGCATCGGTTTTATTTTATTATTCATTTCTGTTTTTCTTGAGTAAGAGTTTAATTTTTATCACATTGGTATTCTAAATTAAATATAAGGAAAGTCGTATATAAGGATTATAAGGTTTTCAGTTTTTGTATGATTGTTTATATTGTACATTTTTGTTGTTTTCTTGAATAATTTTCTGTGTTTAGGAAAAATATATGATTGTGTTAGTGAAATTATTTTTTTCCTAAAAAGTGGAAAATTTTGGAAAACATTTTTCACGAAAATAAATTGTCACGCACAACGAGTCTGTGTGCAAAATGTCAGCTCGATTGGATCACGGGAAGTGGGTTCAAAAACGACCGAAAGATTTGCACGGTCGTAAGCGCGCAAGCATGCAAGCAAGTGAACTTAATATAAAGGATTTAAAAATAGGCACGAATGAATGTGAATGTCTTTCACCACCGGCTCACTGATGTAAAGAGATATGAGTGTCGCCTAATCCGTTTTTTTTTTGTGGGGAAGCACTGATGACGTGTGCATGTGTGTGTATAGTCAAGCTATGCACAGTCAGAAAGTCAAAGTATCCCCTGGATTAATAGGGTGCCACACAAGGCTACTGGAGGTCTGATCCAGTGGTGGAAATTCCATGTTCCCATGGCAGAGCCAGTTTTTACAGGATGACTCCTGTTGACTTCACACAAGTGGTATTTATTTTATCTACCCCAGACTACTGATGGGCTGAGTTGGCTACGCACTCATATTTTTACTCAAACTTATGACGGTCGGTCCAGTGATCTGAGCGTTGCGCCACCCAGGCTGTATTTTAAACAAACACAACGAACACGTCTTCTCGAAAAACAGACTTCTGCTCTCAATTGGCTCTTAAAAATAATGATGTACAGCCCTCGTGTCAACCCACTGCTATTCCGTCACTGTGTCGGTCGTGGGGGTTGTTTTACCATGCTTCACCACGCTTCACCACGCTTCACCACGCTTCACCATGCTTCACCATGCTTCACCATGCTATTCAGTGCGTGTTGTTGAAGTGGTGTGGGCCCGAGAACCAGTTCAGATATGACTCGCCGCTGACGTTAGCCATGGCCGGGAATCGAACTCGGGTTGTCGTGTTCATAGAGCGGTGCGTGAACCACTGTATCACTGCTCCTCCCCAGCTCTTACCATGTTAGAACAGAGATACAAGGGACATCATTGACATGTGCTTTGCTGGTATCTGTACAGCCTGGCCTGTACGCGCAACCAAGAGTGGCACGCTCGCTCACTTCGCAAAGAGTGCCAATGGGTAGCTCTGTGACTTGAGCTGGTGTGTGCCTGAGCAGGGTTTCTGGGTATCAACACCAATAGCCACCTTGGCCCACTCGAGGATGCAGTCGAGGCAGAAGAGGTGGGCACAGTTCTCCGGGGTTCCCAGCTCCTGGTCCCGCAGGCCATTGAGGCAGATGGGGCATCCTTCCCGCTCATCATCCGAGCTCTGCTCAGGTTGGTCCCCACAGTCATCGTCCTCCTCCTCCTCGTCCTCCTCTTCTTCCGCGTCCTCGTCCGAGTCTCCTCCCTCCTCCTCGCTGTCGTCGGAGCCATCGTTGCTGCCTCCTGGGGCGGCAGGAGAGCGCGTTAAGTAGGAGGCGGCACGGTGTGCACAGAGCCTGCGTCGGCATTTCTGGATGGAGCAGAACGGCTACCCTAGCAGACACCAGCTTGCCCTATACCTACTATAATCACCCAGGAATGTCTGTCCTTAATGCTCGTGACGTCACTCCACATCGACCAGCCCCCCTAATTAATATTCATGAGCAGGTGACGTCCTCCAAATGGACACCCCCCCTCATTAATAATCATGAGCAGGTGACATCACTTCCCACGGAGCACCCTCCCCCCTCATTAATAATGAGCAGGTGACATTACTCCACGTCGAACAGCCCCCCTCATTAATAATCATTATAAGGTGACGTCCTCCAAATGGACACACCCCCCCCCCATTAATAATAATTAGCGGCTGATGTCATTCCAAACGGGGGCCGAGGCGCCTCATCCCCCCTCCTCGGCGTCAACTTACATCCCTCACTACAAAGGCAGAACCCTCACGTCACGCGATCTCCGTAACGCTATTGAAACATCGAAGTAAAAAGGACGTCATGATGAACAAGGGATTATAACCTTAAAATGAAATAGGTCTGTGTCACCGCGGCCTCACAAATTGCACACGCATTGATGCAATGAATATCACGTCGCAGGTCTGCTTTTCGCTTGCAAGTTTCAGATTTACTGCAATACACCCGTCCTTGGAAGGGGAAAAGGCGAGTTGAATAGAATTTTTCAAGGCACAACTAAATTATTACAGTCTCACCATCGGGAAATCCTTAGCTTCTGAACCAAGTTTAACTCACAAGAATTTAGAACAGTTTTCTCGTGCAGAAACATGATTTTCGTGGCACGACCGTGATAATTATTGTACTGCTCAGCTGCACAGAGAGCAAGGCATCTGTTCACCCTCCACAATCGCCCACAGTCACACTGGAATCCATTCACCGTCATTCACAGAGCCCCTTTACCACAGTAACATCACAACGCAGTGGAATAATGATGCATCGATTCTCCAAGCTCAATTCTTCAAATAATTTTACACGCATATGTTTAAATTTGATTTATTTATGCCAATTTAAGGTTATGGAGTGGTGCGTGCGATGCATTATGATCGGAGCCAGTTGCATGCAGCTAACATCAGAGAGATATTTGAACTGCTCCTGGGTCCCATCACCCTTCACCAGCCCACACTGACCAGCATGGTGGAGTTTGGTCAAACACCACCCATAACGGACATCGCGTAGGGGAGGCCTTCAATCCCACAGTGGATTAACAAAGGGCTATACATTATTAATTTTAGTTATTTTAAAATAAGACTAGCCTTCAATGAAAATTACAGTGTGTAATTTGTATGGATGTTTCACTCCTTTCAGGGCTCATTATCTTGTTTTATCCAAATCAAACTAGGTATACATAGATTGCTGATAACCATTATCTACAAATGCAATGAAACCCTTCCAAATTAATATGTATTGAGAGCCACATGCCCAGTAAAGGTAACAGGAGGTGTGAAAAATGTTTACCTTCATCATCGTCATCGCCTTCACTCTCATCACTGCCGCTCTCATCTTCATCAGAAATATCTCCATCTGTGAACAACATGTCATCATAATTACTTAGTTTTTTCTTATCCAGGGAAACCACACTAAGTCCAAGGACTCTCTTTCATGAGGATCCTGCATTGCATATTTTTTTTATTTTAAGATGTTTTCAGCCAACTTATGAGTGTTTGTTGTACTTGTCGGAGGCAAGCCAAACCCTCCATGCGTGCAAAGGAGGAGAAAATTCCCGCATGCTAAGGGTCAACATTTTATCCCCATACGTTGTGAAAAAAAAGATGGGGACGAGTCCACTTGCTGTACTGCCTTCTTCTAGCAGGCCAGGGTATGGCACCTCAGCGCACATGGCAAGAGAGTTTCACAACATTTGTGTGATCCAGCAAACCTCGCCTCTCCACAGTGCTGAATTACAGGTGTGCATAGCCATCACCAGCCTTAGCAGAACATACATTTAGTTGCCATCATTCAACACACACCACAGCTCTCCTCTGGCGTGACACAGCATTTTTTTAATGTAGAAGAGTAGTCCCCCATAAGTGATTACATTCTGTTATGTACCATTTAAAAAGCCACTCTAATGAAAGAAAACTAAGTGTATCTGCCACCAAAATAATAAGTATAAATTAAACCTTCATTGCTAATGGAAACCAAAATCACAAATCACTTTTTTCTTCTTTCAAATGGCAAACGTCTGCATTGAGATGGCACACAGGGTGCGCTGGGACGAGGCTTTTAGCTTTTGTTGACCCTCAATGAAACGATTGGGGCTGCGTCTTTAGTTGCCATTCCAACCGAGCAGCCGATCACCGGCGTTCGGTCCACCTTGGTGATGGTATTGGTTGTGCTGGGCACTAAACTCGGGTCACCATCGTCTTCCACACGAATGACTTAAACCAGGCTTAATCTAAACTAAATTTTTATTTTATTTTACCAGTTAAGGCCCAATGAGCTATGTAGCTCTTTTTCAGAAGCGACCGGACCACAAATGAAAGCTCAACGAAGTGGCTTATGTTGAAATTTTAAAGCAGCTAAATACTCTAAACGCATGTTTTTAAATGTGGAGAGAAAAACCAGAGGACCCGGAGAAAAATCCACACGACCATGGGAAAAAAACATACCAACTCCAAATATACAGGCGTGAAGGTCGAGATCGAACCCACGACCTTCTGCATATAAGGCGAGGCAGTTTAATATCTCACCACCGCTTAAATTTGAAGATAGAAAGATAAAAACTGATCTAAAATTCACAACTTTGAGATGACATCCATACAACTTAAAACCAAGGGAATCAGGAGATGCATTCTCAGAGCGTACGTACCGGGCTCATCGCAGTGGTGTTCCTTCCTCTTGCGCTTCCCTGTCGAGCAATCGAGACCCAGCCCCTCCCCCTCCATGGTCACGGGGAGGCTCAGCTGTGGGCAAAACAACAGTACCAGAGAAAAGATCTTTGCAAAATAATAATTCAGCACTCCTTACAACACATGTTCCATGTGCAAGGGATGTCCCAATTCGTCATCATCAGCCAGGACCTATCCACTGCGAAATGAAGAACCATCCCAATCCATCACACCTCTCACAGTCCTGCGATGGAGCAATGATATAAGCTCTCATATGCAGATGCTTGATGGAATATATCATCACATAACCAAATTAATCGTCTGTTATATCTCTTAATAAAAAATACCCATGTCACTGCACAGATTGTGTTTTTAATTAAATTGAATGCAATTTCCATGCATTGAAGATGTTTCTCTTTTGGGTATGGAGGCAAGACAGCTGGAATCCAGCACTTAGCAGGGTATTGTTGGTTTATTGTGCTGTGAAGCTCCCAATCCCACTTGGTTAAAATCTGGCTACAAAATTACAGTACAGCAAGTAGGATTCATATATATTTTTTATATAGCCACGATGTCTCTTTGAAACAATGACGTTAATTAAATCAAGCGTCACCCCATTATTATTAACATAATTCTACAACCTAAATCAGGCGTGGCCTTTTTGAATTTTTTTACCCTCTAAAACCATATCCCTAATATAATTTACCACGGTATAATCCTATTACCATTTCAAAAATGTCCTATTACCATTTGGATAACGTACCTAAGCTCTGTCGCAGGCATACGGGCTGTAAACAAAGGCATTCTTCACATTTGAAAAATGAATTCCCCACAACCGATGTCTGTGCGAAGCCACTCATGCACATTTAAAAAAGACAATTAAGTGACCTCATAAGATTGTTATGACATGGCACTCTATCTTGACAGCCTTGCTTACCAATACCAATGCTCCAAACTGACGCTGGGCAGCCTGGGACAAACAACCTCTACAAGAGATTTGGGTTGCATCTTTATTTAATCAAGCGAAACAACAATAACGATGGGTCTCTTTGTTAGAGCTCTGACGCCCAGACACACACAACACACATTTTTATCTGTTTTCTTACAAGTAATGCATTTCCCAACTATGACACAATGACCTCTTCTACAATGATCCGTTTTTAATATTTACTTCCTGACAAAAGATTAAGTTAATAAACATTCACCATCACTCACCGGCTGCAAATCATCAACTCAGTGGCTAAGGCCATACACAATAGCAATCCTTTTAGTCTTTTCCCCCAATTTCATTTCAATTGTGCTATGGGCATCATGCAGTGAAACTGAGTGTCCATTCGGAACTCTAGCAGAGCTGGGGCATCACCCCATGTTAGAAAACGGTCCACACAAGCAGTGAGCACAGAACTACTTTTGAGAATCCTTCAAGTGACCTTTTACATCGATAAACTAGGGAAGCACTTTTCCACGTACCCTGCTATGTTTTGCTTGGCAATAAAAACGAAATAATGAATTCTCAATACAGGATTCAAGGAGTGTTTAATGCAACAATTGCTGACCGTTCTGATGACAAATTCGCGAGACTACCTCTGGATCTCGCATCAAAAACAGATATCGTGCACCCAGAACCTCAACGATGCAGGCCTCGTGTCTCAGACTCCAGTCTGCCTGCCATCTCCATCACTTGTTTTAATGTTCATATTGTTAAAAAAATATATACCATTCCGCAATTGTCATGTATTGAGCATCCATATGTAACCCCTTATTTGTGCAGCTTTTACTTTGTTCACTGTTATTAAATGTAGATATAAAGACAAACCAACATCGGTGTGACAACCGTGGCGCTGTGCTCATCCACACTGGTGGCCGCTTCCCCCCGCGACAGCAGTGGAAACTCCACGTTCCCACGACGAGACACAATCCACACGCACCACCGGACAATGTAACAACATAATAAAAGCAACGTCTCCTTCGCGCGTATTTCTCTCCAAGTGACAAAAGTATATCTTACGCAACTCATCAGCCGCACCGCTTTCTGTCAGAGCCATTATCTCAGCAGCATTGCTGCAAGACAATCAAACTGCGGGCCGGCGTCTACGCGAGATCTTCATCAGCGGGGATCTGCTGTCCTTGAGCCACTGCTGGCGAGATGCCGCCCTGAGCGGACGACATGGACGATCCCGCGATTCGTGCATTCTGTTCGCCAAATACCAACCAGCCGCTCAGCGACGACTCGCCCACAGCTGGGGTCACCCACCCCCCGTGAGGGCGGGTGGCGGCGTGCGGGCGAGGCGGGCAGCAGCAGATGGCGGTGAGGGCTCGCGAGCGCCACATTCTGCGTGGAGCTGCCGCTAGAGTGGCACCGTGACCTCTCCAGAGGCCCGACATTCTGACGCGCGACGCCGTCCAAAGACTAAACGGGCGATCTATTCACGAGGTAAATCAATGCTATTCCGATGATCATCATCACTGCAGCAGCAGCAGCTGTTACTGCTGTCGTGATGACGGTGATGGCGAGAGTGGAGTGGAGGCTCCACATGGGGTGAAGTTTATCGGACGGCACCGCGCTGCCACTCCGCGCATCGCGCAGCTCTTAGCGCCGTCTGTGTGACGGGGTTGGTAACAAAGAGGATGTCAGACTCACGGCGGCGGCCTTGTCGCTGTGGTCGATGTCAACGGCGGCCGCGCCTCGCCGCCGCCTCCTCCTCGCTCCGCCTCGCGGTCATGGAGGCCGCTGCCGCTGCGCGACGTCGTCGTGGTGCGGGAAGCCGCCCGCGACTGCCTCCTCCACGAGACGACAGCTGGCCCCACGCGGAGCAACGCGCTCTCCCATTGGTCGACAGCGTCCCCCCACCACTCACCGCCCCGTATTGACCAATAGGAGCAGTCGACTCAGTGGGGGGGGGGGGGGGCCGCAACGTGGAGTTTAATTGGTGGCGGCGCGTGCACGCGAAGCCTCTTCCGGAAGGATCTTCTCGCTTTGCCGTGTTCTTTTATACATTTCTAATTAAAACTTTCGTGGCTGCTGGAATTCATATTCTTGTTTTTTTCGGTAAAGTCACGTAGATAGAAAATAAAATACAAAACAATTCAAAAGAAGAAAAAAGGCAAAATAACTTTCGATCGCAACACGAGCGGTCTTCATCAGAACGCGCGTGTTGCGATCGAAACGTCGTGGTTTTTTAATTTATTTAAATTTTCTATCTACGTGACTTTACCGAAAGAAGCAAGAATATGTATTTCATCTTCCGGACTCTGTCGGTAGGAGGGTGGTGGGGGCATTGACAGATGAGAGGGTTTGTATCTCTGGGTGTCGTATAGACCCGGCCGTGAAGGGGACTTTCACGCTTCATCCAGCGGTGGACTGAGCATGGCTCACGATAATTAAATTTCCTTTTATCTTAAAACGGTGCAAGAATCCGTTGAGTCTTATGGGCCAGAGTACCGCACGAGTTACGATATAATTAGAATCGTGCGAAGATCGTGAACTGCCCGACTTGAGACAAATATTGATGAAATGTCTGTAGGAAGGCCCCAGAATTATATTGTACCAAGGGAGACGCGGATCAGCATCACGCTATAGGACAGCAAGCGATGCCCGTGCTACAGGTGAAACGGCGCAAGTGGGCATCGTAGAGCATGAACATGCACTCCACACAATGCTCCTTCCAAACTTGGGGCGCCCCCTTTCTGGGGACGCGAGGCATGGCTCGATTTTTAGAAGGTAAATCATCAAACACAAATTAAGCACGGACACGTAAGTTACCTAACTTTGTTTCATCAAACCCCATTTGTTTATTATACATTTCTGTAGCAATTGAGAGCCTAAGGGGTGCAAGGCTGTGGTAATGCTACTGCTTCTAGATTTGAACCAATCAAACGGCTCTCCCTGAAACCCTCGGCTGCGAGACCTCCCAGATTCTATAGTCTTCCCAAGATCCATAAAGAAGGTACCCCACTACGGCCCATCGTGTCCACGATCAACTCGCCTACCTACAAACTAGTCCGTTTTCTATTGGATACTCTGCTTCCCTTCACTGGCAAGACCACCTCAGCAGTACTCAACTCACTTGGTTTCTATGGTCAAGGACATTTTACTGTCTCCTGACGATGTCCTCGTCAGCTTTGATGTGGTCTCTATTCACCAAGGTTCCAGTGCCTGACACCATAACAATAATTGAAGACTTAGTCCAACATGGACTGAACCCTGATGTCCCTGCGCTGGTTAGGCACTGCCTCACCAACACGTACTTCACCAGGAATGGTACCTTCTACAAACACAATGAGGGCACCCCTTGTCACCAGTGATAGCCAATGTTTTCATGGAGAAATTTGAAACAAACGCCATCCAGACATTCACTCTGCGTCCTTCCTTGTGGAAGAGATACGTGGATGATACTTTCGTCATTTGGCCACATGGCCTCCCAGCATTGAACCAATTTCTAGACCACATCAACTCCATACACCCATCCATCAAATTCACCATGGAAGTAGAGAAGGATGGCAAGCTACCATTTCTGGATGTTCTGTTTGAGAGGAGGCCCAATGGCTCTTTGGGACATTCTGTCTCCAGGAAGGCCACCCACACAGATTCCTACTTGAAGCCTGATTCCCACCACCATCCGGCACAAAAGAATTCCCTCAAGAAAACACTATACCATAGGGCCCACTGCATCTCTGACCAACACCACCTGGCCAATGAATTGGAACATGTACACCTGGCCCTCAAGATGAACGGATACTCGGACCGTGCTATCCACCAAGCTGTTTCTCCCACCGTGGAGAAACACCCCCCCGAGACTCCGATCAAAATCATTACGTTGCCATACATAGCAGGCGTTACCAAAAAGATTTCCAAAATTCTAAACACAAGATCCAGGTCCGATTCAGTACAGGACACAAGATCCGTGATCTGATCCCATCCGTAAAGGATGTCATTCCTGACTTACAGTACCCTGGTGTCTACAAACCGAGTTGCACCTGTGGTGATTGTTATATCGGGGAAACGAAACGACATATTTCTGACGGCATTCACGAGCACAAGTCGGATTTGAAGCACGGCAGGACGAATTATTCGGCAGTAGCTGACCATTGTATACTGCTGGTTCTCATGACATTGTGTTCTCCGATACCAAGGTACTCTGCAAGCCTCCTGGATACTGCTAGACAGCCAGTTTATATTTATTTTCATATTCATATCCATATGCCCAGTCTTCTACTCCCAGCTTTGCACACTATCACCATTGCCACACATTATTTCGAGCGTGCAAGTTTAGCTTGCGCCTTTCTAATTTTCCAGATATACATAGACATAACTTCAACCAAGATGATGGATTAAAATTGAGCAATCATTGGAAGGATGTAATTAACCAAGTTAAACTTTAGCTGCCGTGCAGTTTACTGCTAGACAGCTAGTTTCGATTTATTTTCATAATCATGACCATATTCCCAGTCTGTTACCCCCAGCTTCACACACTACCATCACAATTACCACACGTTGTTTTTCAGCTTGCACATTTCTAATTTACCCCCCCCCCCCCCCGCAGCATAACAAAAGGCTGCTTAATCTTAGCTTTGTTATCTACTTCCACCCCCTGCATCACAAAGCTTCAGTTTGAACTCCATGCGTTGCCTCCCATCACCCCCCACCCCTCCGTGCTGCACGTTGCCTCCCAGTCCACAGCCCGCCCACACTCACCATGGCCCCTCCCCTCCATCCCCCGCGACTATATAATTCCTCGTCACAGCCATCTCTTAGACACACTTAAGCAGTTGTGCTTTCGCTACATTGTCCCCACCTGAAGGACGCTTGTGTTGTACCTGAAACGTCGTGATTTCATTTAGTTTTCATTTTATACCTACGTGACTTTACCGAAAAAACCAAAGAGAATGCTACTGCTCTTGCAAACACAATACACCAACATCCACAAAAACACCGTGTAAGTCAGCAATCTTTTATCTTATAATTATAAAGCGCTTTTATCCTAAGCGCTTTACAAGGGTTACCAGTGGTACAATGAGGGCAGCTAAAAGTGATGTGGTGACTAGGGAAGGGGGGTATGGGGCGGTTTAGTGGGTGCCTAGGGGTGGGGCTGTGCTTAATGTGAATAAGTTTGTTCCCGTGCAAGGAGACGGTGATTGTGCACAAGGAGAGGGGAGGGAATAGTTAGTAGCAGGAGAGGTTGAGAGCAGGAGGTAGGGGACAAGTTGTCTAGGGAAGCGAGGCACGGTGGGGCAAGGCCATCAAGCGATTTGAGTTGCACTATTCCCCACGTTTACCCAGGGCAGATGCACAGTCCCAGTGGGGTAGTCGTTTTCAGGGGGGCCCCTGCTAAGTTGTCACGATAGGGGGGCGATGTTACCGTTTCCACTGTGACCCCAGTTGAGTAAACTTGCAGGACATTGTTCAAAGCCGGGATGTTTGGCCCAAATGCTGCCGGTTGACCCAAGTCTGGAAGTCCAAAAGGTCAACAGGCTGATTACTGGACCATGGGGCAGAGGTGGGGTCTTCAACCAGCAGTGGATAAAACATGGCTATAATGACAATATTGAAAATGTTAATGGCAACAAGACGATTCTGAAAAAGTGGAACCAGTGCAGAATTGGGAAGCTTCGGCTGCTGTGACAGAGGTACACAGTACTGGAAGTGTTGAGACATGCCCCCGGTAGTGGGGCAGTTTGAGAGGGGTTGCAAGACATCACGTAACCCTTGCAGCACCTGGCAACACAAACATGTAAAAGCAATGTGGACAGAGGCAGAATAAATCACATTGCAGAGGTTAAACCAGAAATTGTGATATCCAGATTTTGCCAAGTTGGTTAGACGTGATACCAATGCCAGCCAGACTGGGGTTGTACCATCACAAACCATGGAGGGGATGCAGCACGTGATCGCTTCAGTCAGTCTAGTTTCAGTCATTGGGTCAAATATAGAGCCGCTTCTACGCTGTGGACATTCCGTTGTTTGCATGTCACTGTTGCTCTGTGACGTCATGTCCTGTCAAGGTGACATGTGTCGCGTAACGTCAGTGTACCGCGTGACGTGTTGGTGAACCCACGTGGTCATTTCGCAACAAGGCATCGACGCGGCACACAATGGTGAATTTATTATGACAAAGTGGGTCCAGCTTCAACCTTTTCTCACAAAGTAGTTTTTAAGATATAAATAAGACAAACCTATTTTTTCAACGTCACACAAACGGTTTCCTTCCTGTATAGCCCGTTAGGTTTGAAATGAAAACAAAATATACAATGCTATTTTCAATGTAAAATGTTACTACTTGTAAAAGAATACACGTCATACATGGGATTGAACACCAAGAAACATGAAAACCAACTGTACACATCCGTGACACCTGGTAAATACACGCTTTTTTACTTTTACAGGAACACCAAGAGAAACAAGCTTTCAAATCAAGTCCATTAAGTGAAGCTTCACTGTTGATGCTGCCAAATACAATTTTACACTTTTTTATATTTTGCAATTGTGTTCCCCCTGGTTGCCCCCCCCCACCCCCGGGCCAATCATGGTAAGATGGTCCACTGGCCCTCGTCCAATGGCTGAGCACTAATCAGTTGAGTGCATGCAGCATCAAGGAAACTGCAAGTTCCCTGAACACAAAGCAATCAACAAACCACCTCTCTGCACAAATGCAGTCGGCGTCACAGATCGAGCCAAGGGATGCATGGGAAAACGTACCAGTGCTGACGACGAGATGCTGGACTATTCACCACCCAACAATGAAGTCACCGTGATTTCCATCCCACCACCGGTGTTTTAAATAGCCTGGTTCGATATTGGACTGGCAGCCCCGACAGTTCGAGAATCATTCATGTAAATTTTTGAACATGTTATTTTAATTTTATATTCGGCATTGTATATTTGTTATATAGTTTTTCAATTGTGCATTCTTAAATATATGTAAATGTTTGTTAAGGGTGATAAGTAAAGAAATAAAACTTGCAGAAGTGAGAGAGGAGTGACTCGGTACATGTGCCCCGTAAAAATCTCCCTTTGGTCACCGAATCGCACGGCCCCTGATCCTCGGCCACGTTAGTGCTGCGTTAGTGCTGCGTTAGTGCTGCGTTAGTGCTGCGTTAGTGCTGCGTTAGTGCTGCGTTAGTGCTGCGTTAGTGCTGCGTTGGGGCTGCGTTGGGGCTGCGTTGGTGCTGCGTTGGTGCTGCGTTGGGGCTGCGTTAGTGCTGCGTTGGGGCCACGTTGGGGCCGCGGCGCCTCGGTGGGGCTGCGTTAGTGCTGCGTTGGGGCTGCGTTAGTGCTGCGTTGGGGCTGCGTTAGTGCTGCGTTGGGGCTGCGTTAGTGCTGCGTTAGGTGCTGCGTTGGTGCTGCGTTGGTGCTGCGTTGGGGCTGCGTTGGGGCTGCGTTAGTGCTGCGTTGGGGCTGCGTTAGTGCTGCGTTAGTGCTGCATTGGGGCCACGTTAGTGCTGCGTTGGGGCTGCGTTAGTGCTGCGTTGGGGCTGCGTTAGTGCCGCGTTAGTGCCGCGTTAGTGCCGCGTTAGTGCCGCGTTAGTGCCGCGTTAGTGCCGCGTTAGTGCCGCGTTAGTGCCGCGTTGGGGCTGCGGCGCCGCGTTGGGGCTGCGGCGGTGCGGTGGCCGCGGCGGTGCTGCCACTACGAGGACTGGCACTGCACGCCCGAGCGCCGCGGGCCATGGCCGTCCTCGTCCTCCTGGTAGGCTTCGTTCTTGTGGCGCCGCTCCTCGGACACGGGATCGATGTCGACGAGCATCGCCTCCTCCATGTCGTCCGTGATGAGCGCCTCCTGCCGCGGAGGCAGCAGCGCCTCCAGCTGGGCCAGGCCGTGGATGGGCAGGAAGCCCGACGGGGGGAATACGACCTGGTGACAAAGCGGAGATGCCCGCCCCCCACTGAGCCCCCTGAACTACAGAGTGTCGTGACGACGCACGAGGGAGCGGAATGGCCGCTGCCTCCGCCCGCTGTGCCGATGTTGAGAGGCTTGCGCGGGGCCACTCGTGACCCTTACTTGCGCTGAGCGGGGTTTTCGCCATTTTTACAAACTCTTAACAATGTGCTCGTCGCACAAAGAAAACCCCACGGTTCAAAGTCAAGGCAATGCTGGAAAAAGATCTCCAATGTGTATCGCTGGATTGACCAGTCAAATCAAGCATAGTTGGTTTAAAAAATTCCTCTTGCGATTTGACCTCAAGAGATCACTTGGTGGCACCATGTGTGATTAGGTTCGTCTGACCTCTTGTGTTCTTATTACTTCAGGTAAGACCTGGCCAATGTCACTCGGCTGAGTGTTTAGGGGGCTCATGCTTTGCCTGTGCCCAATCACTTCAACAATACACGACTGTGACCCTGGGTTTGAATCCATCAGGCCTCAAATGTGAATTAAGCAAGCTTGCATTTTTCAGAATTTAGCATGCTTTGCTTTTCACTGAGATGCAAGTGGTAAAAAAACTGGAGATAAAACCTCGGACGAGGTTGACATTAACACTTTTGACTGCGATCTCATGTGTTGATGTCAAAGCATCGGTTGGGGGTTATGCGACTTACTTTGAACTGGATGATCAGACGGCCCTTCTCGAATGGGTTGCGGAAGATAGGCATGCCCTCGTTCAAGATGCACTTCACCTCTCCGTGTTTTATGACTTCACCTGCACAGGGATATCACCGCGTGTCACGTCGACCATCAATTGAATCGGGACCGGACACGGTCGATGCGGCCACCTGACGCACAAAATGGCGCATCAAAGATTCGGCGGCCTGCGAGTGTGCAGCCACAAATCCCAAACCACCAAGCCGCGTCATAAACAGTCTGCCACTGCTGCTGCAGTCTTCACTCCTTGAAAGGAGGTATGGACGAGATCCACTCTGCTCCTGAACAAACAATTGAGTGGATAACATCTAAAATTACATCTTTAATCTGCTGTTATTAATCCATACGAAAGAAGACCGCGTGTTACAACGACGATGCCATTAAAGAGAAAAACCCACCAAGAGACAGGATAAGGTGATCAGAATGTGGACACTGGGATCAAACCTTGAGCCGATATTGGAGATTTAAACTCAGCTCTGGAATGTCGATCGTTTGTCTGGTGACAAACCATGCAGGGGAAAAAACTGCACATTGCTCGAGTCCCATCTGTGAAGGGTTTTTTTCTGAACGTGCACAAAAGGGTTGCAATCAGAGGATTCGATTTTAGGCCATTTTAATTTCAGGAATTTTTTAATGCAGGTGTTTTTCCGGACCCACATACATCTGCAGAGGTTTAGACAATCTCGTGGTTGTGAAATAAAGAGATCCGTGAACGGTGTTGCACAAGGCACTTGCAGCATCACTTTCAGGTTATCCGCCACTCTACCAAGTACAGTCTCTTCTCTGTTAGCAAACAGCTGGGAAATGTTTGGCTCTGAGCACTGTGTGCGCACCGGGGTGGGACGTGATGACGATCACCCGGTCGTCCAGCGTCGAGATCAGTCTCTGGAAGCCGCACAGTGCCTCCACCAGCTCGATTTCCATCTCCATGATGAGATCCTGCCCTTGCCTGGCAAACACATGCAAAGGGTCATTCATCTGTCCAGATCATCAGTCTCAAAATTCTCTCAAAGAGGGTCCTACATTGGGAATGATGGGTCAAATTCTGTATGATGGAAGGAATGCTTTAAAGTGGCGGAAGAAAACCAGAGTATCCAGAGACAACCCACACACGAGGGGAGAAAGGGTTCGTGGATTCGATCCAGACCATGACACCAGCTGTATTTTTGGGGTTTGTCTCTCTCTCTGTCTCCCCATGGTCGTGTGCATTTTTCTGCGGGTCCTCTGGTTTTTCCCTCCATATTTAGAAATCAACATGTGTTCAGAGTATTTGGCTGCTATACATTTCCACGTGACCAGCCACTTTGCTAAGCTATCATTTGTGGCCAGGTCGCTTCTGAAGGAGCTACAGTGTGCCCTTACCTGGAAAACTAAAACATCTATTGTTTAGATTTACAAACATGCTTTGCTCTCCTGTCACCTCCTGGCCACCTCCCATCCTGGAAAGTTTCCGAGTTTTCCAGATCTATGCGAACCACCAACCCTCGCATCCAAGGCACTGCATTGCAGGCATGCATCATTATGCGTGGAGTGCAAAACCGCAAACACCTAAAAGGGCCAACCAAGCGGCCAAGCTGCAGCGCGTGGGGGGGGGCGGCAGCTGATGCCACCTCGGAATTTTAACTCTGGGTCTAATGATTCACTCCCACACCGCAGACTTGCTGTCACGGATAGTCGCCATTTTCTTCAGGAATTACTTTTCGAGCGACGATTGGGGTCCTCCGGCTTTTCACGTAAACACAAATTCGATTCACATAGCGCGGACTTAATAATAATCATTTAATCGTAGTATCATTGCACCCCTATTCATAAACCAGAACTCTTCAAAATCCAATTTAAAAGACGATTCAAGGTTCGAGTTTATTTTGTTTAATGAGGGGAGAACTCGGGAGGCAAAAAGAGACTCACCGGTGGAACACAGGGTGCTCCTTCTGCTCAAGCACGGTGATGACGTCCCCGGGCTCCAGCCCAGGCTCCTGGTCGCCCTCGCCGGCAAACTGGATCTTCTGTCCGTCCTTCATGCCTACGCCGGCGACAGAATAGCAACTCTTAATTTACGACCCGCAGTCACCAATGACTGCGTAAAAATCCGATTACATTTGCTGTTTCACTTCACTCTGGAAAAACTCGTTTTGTGACTACACAAATCAGTCGTTGAGGCCCTCTCGGGACCTCAAAGGTGACGTCATCTTCCACGACCCATCTAAAGACACTGCTCACAGTGCCCCCTAAACATATTTTACTAACATAATAGATGTTTTTTGGGTTGGATCGTGTAAATATAAATGCGGCGTTAAACCCGCCACCACCTGACACAGCCAATTAGTAAGGTTTGTCACGTAAACGGAACCTGCAAATTCGTTACTAGTACAGCAAAGCCACAACATTTACGTCAGGCAACAGCCACATCTGGCTGTTGCCTAATGAAGCCAGTAACGAATTGGCATGTTCTGTTTACGTGACACACCTTACTAATTGGCTGTGTCGGGTGGTGGCAGGTTTAACGACACATTTATATTTGCGCGATCTAACCCAAAAAACCTATATTATGGATGAAATTGGTCGCAAAAGCTTACGTGTTAAACTGATCTTTTACTAACTTGCGCCGATGTGGCCCACTGCCAGTGAAGTCACCATAACTTTTCACCGCACCACTCCGGAGTGCGAGCACCCCATCAAAACTACTCCCAGGTTCGGGCGCGAGACCGCCAAGTCCTGGCCACTCACCCTTGTCGATGTGCACCTCCAGGATCTTCTTCTCGCGCACCACCTTGCGGCCCTGGCACTGCCTGCAGCGGTCGCGGGGGTCGATCTGCTCGCCACTGCCCTGGCACTCGTGGCACACCGACTGGATCTGCTGCACCATGCCTGGCCCCAGCTGCTGGATGCGCACCTGCATGCCCGTGCCGCGGCACACGCCGCACGGCTTCACCGCGCCTTCCTTGCCGCCGCGGCCTGAGCACGGTGACAATAAACGCACGCCGCAGGGGGACGTCAGCACCGCGCGGCTCGCCGTCGCGGGGCAACTCCTGACCATCATCACCACCACGGCTGCATTGTGAGGCACAATGCAGGCTCCCGCGTGCCGGCATCTACACGAGCCGCTTATTCGTCATTTGTCGCCGCAAATTTGCTCGCTTTCGGTGTTGTTACCGGATCACAACGTGGTCTCCTCCCAGCGTTGTGTGTGACAACGATCGCGTCTTCACGTATTTCATCTACAGAAAGCCTCACTGGCTCCTTAATCGCTTTCAAGAGGGCGCTGCATTGGGATGTTTCGGCAACTGCCTTTTAAGCGGCGATTTTGTGTGCGAAACGAAAAAATCCGAACAATTCTGCCAGGAATCAAACCCATCACCTGTGAACTATGCACAGGCTCTGTGCTTTGCGTGTAGCCGGTAAACATCAGCTGGTGTAGGAGGAACACAGCAGGTTACAGACAGCTGCCCAGCCAAAAAATATTGGACCAGTCAGGCAACCATATGCCTCATCATCTCGTGAATGGTCAGGATTCATTCATGGGCCACCTCCACCCTTGGCTTCTGGACATTCGTTTGAATAGTTCTTGTTTGAGACTTTAACTACCTCGCTTGGTATGCAGGAAGTCCGTGGGTTCGATCCCGACCGACACCTGTATATTTGGAGTTTGCATGTTCTCCCCGTGGTTGCGTTGATTTTTCCTCGGGTCCTCCGGTTTTTCCCTCCACATTTATAAACATGCGTTTAGAGTATGTGGCTGCTATAAGTTTCCGCGTGATAAGCCACTTCGTTGATATATAATTTGTGGCCCGTTTGCTTCTGAAAAAGAGCTATGCCTTCCCTGGTAAAATAAAAATTGTTTAGTTTTATACTGTAAAATAATCTCAAAAGACACTGTACGGAAAGCACTGCCAAAATCATTACCTACATAGATATTTTCCTTTAGAGGCCACACGCATGGTGTTATGGATGAACGTGTGGAGTTTTCTGCGTCGCAAATGAGGGCAACGTAACACGGAACCGAGCGCGCTCACACACCTCGCTGGCTCAACAACGGACCGACGTAGCAGCGTGGACACGGATAAACAACAACGAGAGATCTGGGCACCCCCATCACCACCGCCCCGTGCTCACCGTCACATTTGTTGCAGACGACATTCTTCTGTAGCGCCAGCTTCCTCGTGGCGCCGTTGTACATTTCCTCCAGCGAGACGGTGAGCTGATGCACCACGTTCTTCCCTGCAGGGCACACACACCGACCGTTCAGTGCCCCACGTTCAGAGACCGAATAATGATGATTGCATCACTTAATTAGGCCTCTCTATCCATCCACACTGGGAGCACACCCTTTTACATCACCATCTAGAGATGTCGGTCACATGACAAACGGGAATGTTGTAATCCTGACAGCCGGCAAAGTGTCGTATGAAGAGCACGTCAAAAGCAATAATTGTGGTTTCTTCTTTGCAACCATTGATGACTGGGTAAAGATCAATAGCTCGCTTAAAGTCTAAGTAATTTCTTGCTCAAATGAGCATCAAGGTGATAGCGGTGGAAATTCCACATTCCTATGGCGGGGGGAAATCTCTCCCAACCTCTGTGGACTTCCGCACAAAGTGGTGCTCATCTTATTGAGCCGAGCCCCCCACCACCGAGCGACAGGCTACGTCAACCACCCAGCCAGGATGTGAACTGGCAACCTTCTCATTGCGAGCCGCTCGCTCTGCCACCGACAGGCCACGACACCCAGCTGTACCTCGACTCGCACTCAATATCTCACTATCAGGACACTTATTTACCCAGGAGGAATTCGATGAGCTACAAAACTTTTGTTCACAGATGTTCCAATATCTCTCGGCAGCGTGAGCCATCTCCGAGCCGCCGAGAAGGGGGGGGGGGGGGTAGGCGCGTGCCATCCTCGCTTCGTTACCTTTGCGCTCACGCTGCGCGCGGCCTCCCCCGCCAAAGAACATGTCAAAGATGTCCATGGGGGAGCTGAAGCCGCTGCCGCCGCTCATGCCGCCCTCCTTGATGGCCTGCTCGCCGCCCTGGTCGTACAGCTCCCTCTTCTTGGGGTCCGACAGCACCTCGTACGCCTGGGAGATTTGCTTGAACTGCACGAAGCACACGCATGTGCGCACACACGCACGGCGGGGCAAACGTGTCAACGACCACCGATCCACCCCCGCCCGTCTTTTGTCGCGAGAATTTTGGATACGCGGTTGGTTACGCTAATGGCGCTGGTTTGCGACGGCCTACATAGTGGTCAGCTCGCCAGGCAGGCATGTCCAAACCATCGGCCCGTCACTTCACCGGCGGGGACCACAGCCCCAGCAGTGCCGTGTCTGCGCGCGGCCTTGTGTTGATTTCTGGCGGCGGGGACGAGACCAGAAATAGGACAGGAGGCCGCCTCATATTGCAACCGATACCGTTCAGCCGGCACTTAAAGCACAATTAAGGACTTCAAAAGGTGTACCTCACATTTGATTTCTAAGATGTATCCACCTCAGGAATGCATTTAAATCCCTTCCTCCATTCAGATGGTGGTGACGGAGCCCAGCAATCCATTGCTGCTTAGATCGTAACATGTTACCCTCAATGAGCGAGCAACATTTTAATTATATTGCAGTAGGAGCCTGCTACAGAGCACAAACTGCAATGCAAGGGGTGAGAATTTTACTTTTAAATAAATTTGTTATTTAGTACGACTTAATTGAATAGGTTATTAATTATTGTATTAAAAAAACAGACAACAAATCGAACTTTGTAAATGCTTGTCACAAAAATCAGCGGCACCTCCGTGAATCGAAAATCAGATTACACAGCAAAATATCTGACTTTGCACATTTTACACAATTTTTCAATAAAACCAGGCACAACATGAAAATGCACCTTGTTGCAAAGGATGTAGCAAAAAAAATACTCCAGTTGCCAGAAAACCAATGCTGTCAGCAAGGACACCACACACAATGAGCCCTGCATATTGGCTAATGCAGGGCCCCGAGACACAGCCCAGGGTCCGGGTGACACGTGGAACGTTCTGGAACACAGCAACGAGCAGAGAGGGCCTGCAACGCGCCGCCATCGTCAACACCCCTCGCACGGAGCGCAACGTCTGTACACTGCGTTTGTGGTCATGTTTAGTGAACGATCCACCCTCTAGCCTTCAACAGACCGTTGGGACAAATACTGTTAGCGAGCACCGATGAAGGCCGGTACGGCGCACGAGGGCTGGGTGGTGTTGCCAGAACCAGCCTTTGTCTCCCTAGTGGCGATGTTTACACTCATTTGAGGCCGAGTCGACCTAGGGGAGGCCCAAGAACGGTTAAAATATTCGCCACTATGTTGATCGTGAGCGGGAATCAAAGTCGGGTGTTCGGGTCCATAGCGCAGTGCGCTAACCATTGCGCCACTACTCCCCAAAAATGCAAAAAAAAGATAAAGATCCCCCGTATAGTCTTAACAGATTGTTGGGGTACGTGTTGTCATCGAGCACCTATGAAGGCCGGCACAACACATGAGGGTTGGGTGGCCAACATCACTCCCGGCCGCCTTTGTCTCCCCAGTGATGATGTTAACACACCACACCAGGTACTAATTTGAGTCTGAGGCGACCAAGGGGAGGCCCACGACTGTTTCAGTTAATCATCACTGGTGTTGGCCGTGAGCGGGAATCAAACTCGGGTCGCCGGGTTCATGACGCATCATGCCAATCGCGACACTACCGCTCCCACGCACATACACCCCCTGGTGGCACCAATACCAATACCCGCCATTCGCCACTAAGTGACGATGACGTCACCACAGGGCACCTGGCCTGTGCCAGGCTAGGTGCACTTTTAGGCCACGTGAAGTGTTGAAGGCTCGCTGACAGGTCTCGGGACAGACTCCGGTGCCATCGGCCTGTCGACTGAGATGACTTGTAGATGCATCAGCCGTACCCCCTACTGTGCCAACTTGCTGCATTTTAGCCGCCCGGCGCTCCGCTCATTGTTGTGAGCGTCGCTCCTCTGCCCTCCGTTGTTGCTGGAGGGCGACTCCCTCCAATTTACCATACACACGCGAGCCCACACCGCCAACGACAAGCGGAGCATGAGCACAGATGATTGCAGCACCAGCAGCGTGGCGGGGGGGGGGTGGGGGGAGCACGCGGCACAAGCGCAACCTCTTCACCTTCTCGCCCTCGTTGGGGTTCTTGTCCGGGTGATACTTGAGGGCGAGCTTGCGGTAGGCCTTTTTGAGCTCCTCGGTGGAGGCAGAGGGCTTCACGCCCAGGGTGTCGTAGTACTTCGTCTCTTTCACCATCGTGGCTAAGGGATCTTGGAACTGTGAAGAAGAAAACACGCTTATTTATATTTTTTAAAGTACCGGCGATGCACGTTGAGTTATCGCCGCCGCCAGGTGATCCTAAGGCAGCGTGTATGTAATGTTTGAATAGTTTAATAGTATGAGACTTGGTTTTACCCTTCCTGGCAATAAAACAGGAATAGGTAAAACCTATTCTTATATTTTCATACTGGCAAGGGAGGTCCCATGATGTAGTTTAATTGTAACAAAATTATTGATTGTTAAAATATGAATGTATCCTTTTTATTTCCAAAGCCCTTTTTGTCTTCATAACTATTTTTAAAACAGCCACTGGAAGGTTCTTCTGCTGTGCCCTGTGCCGCCGATCTGCTCGGAATCTTCCAGAAAGCCTCTCGACTCCCAGCTCTGACCATCCAGCTTTTCTCAATGAACCGCCACAAAACGACTCTCAAACAATCCACCAAAACAGGCGCCAACAGTCTTCTGCTCAACTCCTGTCAACTACAAGTCCCCAAAAGCAGCCACGTTTCTGAAATGTACTCAATGGCCATTTGCATGCAAGGGAACAATTTTACCAACACAGCCCCATCAGCTTTCCAGCGATTCTCACCAACACGGGCTCAGGAATGTCCTGGCGTGCCTCGCTTTATTATTGCACTTCGTTTTATTGCACTTCGCTATAATTGCACTTTTTTAATGTCGGATCTCAAGATAAATGTCGGATCTCAAGATGATCAACTTAGCAAGAGAATAAGATTCGATGAGTAATTACGTACATACATAATTTACAATCTCATTGGCTTATCATCTGTAACTCCCGCTTCTTGCATGTGAACTTTGGGAATCAGTCGGTTTAATTTAAACTTTTCTATTTAGTTACATACATCGTTTTAGGCATACTGTAGCTGCATTGCGCTTTGAATAGTGTAGTTTAAACACGTTTTAAGGCTTTTAGATGCATTTGCAAATGAAAAAAAAGCACGTCACTCGCTTTATTGCTATTTTCGGTTCATTGCGGTGCCCTGGTCCCCACGGAGCCATCACACCGAGGTTCGCCTCTACAGAGACATTGCACATGCCAGAGCCACACGAGACTCGGTTGTTCTGAACAAATATTAATGGGGGGGGGGGGGGGGGGGGGGGGGGGTCACACGTGGCTGGGGCAATCTTGCCACAGTGCTGAGATTGTTACCTTCCTCGCCTGATTTACAGGAGGTTGTGAGCTCGATCCCGGCCCTGATGCCTACACATTTGGGAGCGGTGTGTGCGTCAGTGTTCTCCCCGTGGTCGCATGGATATTTCTCCCGAGTTCATCCGATGTTTCCCTCCACGTTTAGAATGAACACGCGCCCAGAGAATTTGACCGCTAGAAATGTCCACGTGACGAGCGACTTCGTAAAACTATCATTTGTGGCCAGGTCGCTTCTGATAAAAAAAAAAACGATATAAGCTCAATTGGGCTTTAGCTGATTAAAAAAAATTAAAATGTTAATTAATTTTAAATGTTAATTTTTTTTGCAAGGGTTTATGCGACAAGTCACGGCCCACCAGGGGCCAGCAGGTGACGCTACAGGCGACTCGGTGGCGGCCTCCTCTGCCGAGTTCCTGGAGAGCCGATTCTGTTAAGTTCCCGTAGCCGCGAGAACTTTCCACACGGGTCACGAGAGGTCGAGGTGCAAACGCCGCTTAAACGTTGGCCGCGCGTTACACCGAGTCAACGTTCACACGAGTCAATGGTTTCAGGTTCGAGTGTTACACGCAGTGTTTACATATTGCCATTGGAGGCTGGATGTTGTCAAGTTCTTTCGCAGCGTACGTAGCGAACCGTCCTAATCTGAGGTTCGTGGCCAGGTGTTACTGTTAAAGCCGACGGGGTCACATCAGGCTAAGGTCATTGTCCAGGTGTAAAGGTCAAAGCTACATTCATTGGTCGCTTGCACAGCACGGCTCAAGCGAGTTCAGTATTTGGCTGCTGTGAATTTCACTGCGTTGTGGCCATCATTTGTGGCCAGGTCGCTGCTGAAAAACATCTCTGTAGCTCAGTGGGCCTTAGAAGATCTTAGTTTAGCTTGCGAGGAAGGCGAGCGACGAGATTCCGAGGCGTTGTTCGCAGTCGCCTCAAGCCCAGCATCAGAAACGGGGCTCGGCTCGAGGTGGCGACCCCCCCCCAGCACCACCAAGCGACGCGCACGGAGGGAAACAATAAACCGGTTAATTGTCGCGCTGAACCAATTGACCCGCTCACCTATCAACACAGCCCGATCGATTTACCACGCCACTACCCCACGCTTGACTGGTTAGTCCCCCCCCACTCCCCAGCTCGTCCCCCCGTAGTTGATCACTCCTGGGGTTGAGTCACTCCCGGGGTTGAGTCACCCCCGGAGTTGATCACCCCCGGGGTTGAGTCACCCCGTAGTTGATCACCCCCGTGGTTGATCACCCCGTGGTTGATCACCCCGTGGTTGATCACCCCGTGGTTGATCACCCCGTGGTTGATCACCCCGTGGTTGAGTCACCCCCGTAGTTGAGTCACCCCCGTAGTTGATCACCCCCGTGGTTGATCACCCCCGGGGTTGAGTCACCCCGTAGTTGATCACCCCCGGGGTTGAGTCACCCCGTAGTTGGTCACCCCCGGGGTTGATCACCCCCGTGGTTGATCACCCCGTAGTTGATCACCCCCGGGGTTGAGTCACCCCGGGGTTGATCACCCCCGTGGTTGATCACCCCCGGGCGAGGAGGGAGAGAGTGCTCACCTGCGCAGCGTGCGAGTTACAGGTTGGGAGTTCTCAACAACTTCTTGTTCGCAGTGGCGCGGACGAGCTGGACAGCGGAGTCCGAATCAAGCAACTCTGGTGGTCCTGCCTCCACACGCGGCAGCGGCTCCCTCTGCCGCGAGCCACCGACTGGGTTCAGGGCACAAGCGGCTCACGACTCACAACCTCCACCCACCGGGCGCACGGCTCCACAACAAGCGGCTCACAAGCCTCCGCCCACTAGGAATACGGCTCTTCAAGCGGCTTCAAGCGGCTCACACCCTCCACCCACCAGGCGCACGTCTCGCGTGGCCTCTCTGCCGCCCCCCGCGCTCTTTATGGGCGCGGGGGCCGTGGGCGGGGACAGAAGGTTCTGGACGGGACGCGACCATTGGCGCCGGACATGGAGGGGGGTTCCGACAACCTCCTGTGGATGTCTGCAGCTAAACGTTTGTTGTACTCGCTTGTACTCGCCGGCTTCGCCCGGGACTTGGATTCACCACGCCCGTCCGCCTTTGTCTCCCCAGTGGCGATATTGACACACCGCACCAGTTGCTCGTTTGAGGCTGAGTCGACCTAGGGGAGGCCCAGGACCGGTTCAAATAATCGTCACCGGTGGTGGCCGTGAGCAGGAATCGAACTCGGGTCGCCGGGTTCGTAGCGCAGCGCGCTAATCACTACACCACCGCTCCCCCCCACACACACACAGGATAAAGACAAAGATCCCCTGTGTAGCCTGTGAGACTGTAGGGGACAAGTGCTGTTAGCGAGCACCTATGAAGGCCGGCACGGCACACGAGGCTACACGGGGGATCTTTGTCTTTATCCTGTGTGGGGGGGGGGGGAGCGGTGGTGTAGTGATTAGCGCGCTGCGCTACGAACCCGGCGACCCGAGTTCGATTCTCGCTCACGGCCACCACCGGTGACGATTATTTGAACCCGTCCTGGGCCTCTCTTAGGTCGACTCAGCCTCAAACGAGTAACTGGTGTGGTTTGTGAACATCGCCACTGGGGAGACAAAGGCGGACGGGCGTGGTGTAAAGCAAGTACCTATTAAGTTAAACTGAAACTGAACCCCATCCCCGCTTGCTGGGGAGCTTGCGGGGCTTGGCTTCACGGGTTTACTGCGGGCACGACTGACGATGCGGGTTGGTTGCGTCCGCCGTGGCCCCGTCCGTCTGCTCTGCAACTGGTTGCTGAATCGGAGTGGCGATCGCGCGGCGCCGCGGTCCGCGATGGGAATTGGGCAGCTCGCACTGATCCCGCTGCTGCTGTCACCATCCTAGAATCTCACCACCCAGATCGAGAAGGACGCTGCTGCTGCTGTCACCATCCTAGAATCTCACCACCCAGATCGAGAAGAACGCTGCTGCTGCTGTCACCATCCTAGAATCTCACCACCCAGATCGAGAAGGACGCTGCTGCTGCTGTCACCATCCTAGAATCTCACCACCCAGATCGAGAAGAACGCTGCTGCTGCTGTCACCATCCTAGAATCTCACCACCCAGATCGAGAAGGACGCTGCTGCTGCTGTCACCATCCTAGAATCTCACCACCCAGATCGAGAAGGACGCTGCTGCTGCTGTCACCATCCTAGAATCTCACCACCCAGATCGAGAAGAACGCTGCTGCTGCTGTCACCATCCTAGAATCTCACCACCCAGATCGAGAAGGACGCTGCTGCTGCTGTCACCATCCTAGAATCTCACCACCCAGATCGAGAAGAACGCTGCTGTTGCTGTCACCATCCTAGAATCTCACCACCCAGATCGAGAAGAACGCTGCTGCTGCTGCTGTCACCATCCTAGAATCTCACCGCCCAGATCGAGAAGAGCGCTGCTGCTGCTGTGCCAACAAAGTGGAACAACGCGGACGTCCAGAATAGGCGCCTCTCATTCGAGACCCAAAACATCATGGCATACCTCCTCCTGCGTTTGGGGTCGTCCATAAATGACGTCACGCACCTAGGAGGGGGGTCAGACATTTGTGACGATGTGTGACGAGGGGGGGGGGGTTGAGAAATCTGACGTCACATTAAAATGCGCAACTTTAAATAAAAATAGACAACACGTTCTACTTAATTAAATTGACTTTTTAATACATGTTTTCTCCTACAACATCAGAGTGCAGCGCCACATTAAATAACCACTACAATGACAATAGTTTAAAGCGATTTGAAGCATGTTTTTTTTTTTTGGGGGGGGGGGCAGAGCCTTGTGACGTCATCTTGAGGGGGGTCTGACTTTTTGTGACGCCGTGTGACGATGGGGGGGGGGGGGGGTCAAAAATCGTCCAAAATCGCGTGACGTCATTTATGGACGGCCCCTTTGACATTCCACCTCCTCGAAGACGCAGCTAGGGGAGCCACCAACAGCATCAAGAGCACGAACAGGCCGCTCCGCGTACATCTCTTTAACAACTAGAACACTTTAAGACAAGCCACAGGAGTGAGATTGTGGCCACGTTCAGCAGCTGCTGTGAATGTCAGGAGAGAGTTGCTGTCGTTTTGCTGTTTCGTCTCCGTTGTAAAAGCGCAGCAGACCACGGGGTTCAGTAGACGGCGCATGGCTTGGTTTGCATGGCAACACAATCGCACTTTTGTGGCTTCTCACGTGGGCGTTGTTAAATAGCTTCTTGTGTTTCGTTTGTTGTCCTTCCCCAGCACCCCCCCGATTAGCACGGCTGGCTACGTACGGTGCGAAAAAAGTTCAACATACGTAGGTACATTGATTTGACCATACTTCGCGTTCGCCTATTGCGGGTTGGTAAAAATGAGTTGGCGGGTGTGGGCATGACCGGGTTCCCCCATCACTCGCCACTGACGGTAGCCGTGGCTGTGAGTCGGGAGTTGCACCCTTGGTGCGCGCGCATAGCACGGGAGCTCCTCTTGTCATTTCTCTCACGCGCGCCTACAACTGGGCGCGCTGAGCTTCTAGAATTGGTGAGCGAGTGGGGCAAAGTCTTAAAATCAATTAGGCGGATCGGAATACTTCATACAACGTCGATCTCGGTAGCATCACACTCACTCGTCATGTTTCCTAACACTGTGCGATGTAGTTTAATTGCGTTTCTTCGTAAGTCTACTGCTGGATGATGGTGCCGGGTTGAAGGGTGTGTGCACCAGTCCGGACATCACTCGGCAAGGATGGCAAGAAGCCGTGGCCGGGAATTCAACGCAGATTGTTGTCGGCTTCATTGACTTGCCGTGCGCCAGCCACTTGCGTGACGGCTGCACCCCAGTCACGAACTTTCACAATGGGTGGACGTGGTGACGCTGCTGCACAAGCACAGCGAACAACACTCGCGACACGTTCAATAGCCGCTGCTGCTGGTCACGGGTTAACACGCGCCCAGCCGTCCGAGGCAGGGCGGCTCTAGAAGCGCCCAGCAAACACCCAGCCCCGTCTCAAGCAAACACCCAGCCCCGTCTCAAGGGGCGATGGAAAGTTCGTGAGAGAGCGAGGCTCGCGCGCTCAGCCACCTCCCTCTCTCCACTCCCACTCCCCCCTTCCACCCCCTCCCTCTCTCCCCTACCACCCCCTCCCTCCCCTACCACCCCCTCCCTCCCCTCCCACCCCCTCCCTCTCTCCCCTACCACCCCCTCCCTCCCCTACCACGCCCTCCCTCCCTCCCCTACCACCCCCTCCCTCTCTCCCCTCCCACCCCCTCTCTCCCCTACCACCCCCTCCCTCCCCTCCCACCCCCTCCCTCCTCTCCCCTCCCACCCCCTCCCTCCCCTACCACCCCCTCCCTCCCTCCCCTACCACCCCCTCCCTCCCCTCCCACCCCCTCCCTCTCTCCCCTACCACCCCCTCCCTCTCTCCCCTACCACCCCCTCCCTCTCTCCCCTCCCACCCCCTCCCTCCCTCCCCTACCACCCCCTCCCTCCCTCCCCTACCACCCCCTCCCTCTCTCCCCTACCACCCCCTCCCTCTCTCCCCTCCCACCCCCTCCCTCCCTCCCCTACCACCCCCCTCCCTCCCTCCCCTACCACCCCCTCCCTCCCTCCCCTACCACCCCCTCCCTCTCTCCCCTACCACCCCCTCCCTCTCTCCCCTCCCACCCCCTCCCTCCCTCCCCTACCACCCCTCCCTCCCTCCCCTACCACCCCCTCCCTCTCTCCCTACCACCCCCCTCCCTCCCTCCCCTACCACCCCCTCCCTCTCTCCCCTACCACCCCCTCCCTCTCCTCCCCTCCCCCCCTCCCTACCCTCCCCTACCACCGCCCTTCCCTCTCTCCCCTCCCCCCCTCCCCCCCCCCTCTCCCCTACACCCCTCCCCTCCCTCCCACCCCCTCTCTCCCCTACCACCCCCGCCCTCTCTCCCCTACCACTCCCCTCCCTCCCCTACCCACCCCCTCCCTGCCGCTCCCCTCCCACCCCCTCCTCTCTCCCTACCACCACCCGCCTCCCTCCCCTCCACCCCCCTCCCCTCTCGCCCCTACCACCCCCTCACCTCCCCACTACCCACCCCACTCCCTCCCCTACCACCCCTCCCTCTCTCAACCCGACCACCCCCTCCCTCCCCTACCACCACCCTCCCTCCCCCTACCACCCCCCTCACCTCTCTCCCCATACCACCCCCCCTCCCTCCCCTACCACCCCCCGTCCCTCTCTCCCCTCCACCCCCTCCTCTCTCCCGCTACCAACCCCACCCCCTCCCCTACCACTCCCGCTCCCCCTACTCCCCCTTCCCTCTCTCCCCTTACCACCCCCTCCCTCCCTAACACCGCCTACGCACCTCCTCCGCTCCACCATCCGCTCTCCCACTCCCCCCCTTCCCTCCCCTACCACCCCCTCCCTCCCTCCCTCATCCACCCAGCCCCTCTCTCCTCCTCCTCCCCTACCAACCCCCTCCCTCCCCTACCACCGAGAACCCCTCTCCCGCCCCTACCACCCCCTCCCTCTCTCCCCTTCCTCAACCCCCTCCTCCTCTCCCCTACCAACACCCTTCTCCTCTCTCCCCTCCACCAAAAAAACCTCACCTCCCGTCCCCTAACCACCACCCTCCCTCCTCCCCTACCACCCCCCGTCCCTCTCTCCCCTACCACCGCCCTCCCTCTCTCCCCTCCCACCCCCTCCCTCCCTACCCTACCACCCCCTTCCCTTCCCTCCCCTACCACCCCCTCCCTCCCTCCCCTACCACCCCCTCCCTCTCTCCCCTACCACCCCCTCCCTCCTCGCCCCTCCCACCCCCCTCCTCCCTCCCCTACCACCCCCCTCCTCCCTCCCTAACCCACCGCCCGCCCTCTCCTCGTCTCCCCTACCACCCCCCTCCCTCCCTCCCTACCACCCCCCTTCCCTCTCTCCCCTACCACCCCTCCCTCCCCCCCCACCCCCCCTCCCTCCCTCCCCTACCCCCCCCCTCTCTCCCCTCCCACCCCCTCCTCCCCCCCTCCCCCCCTCCCTCCCTCCCACCCCCCTCCCCCCTCCCCTCCTCCCCCCCCCCTCCCTCCCCCTCCCCCCCTCCCTCCTCCTACCCCCCCCCCCTCTCCCTCCCCCCCCTCCCCCCCTACCCCCCCCCCTCCCTCCCCTCCCCCCCCCTCCCTCTCTCCCCCCCTACCCCCCCCCCCCCTCCCCTCCCCCTCCCTCCCCTACCACCCCCCTCCCTCTCTCCCCTCCCACCCCCCCCCTCCTCCCCTCCACCCCCCTCCCTCCCCTCCCCCCCCTCCCTCTCTCCCACCCCCCCTCCCTCCCCTCCCCCCCACCCCCTCCCTCTCCCCTCCCCCCCCTCCCTCCCCTCCACCCCCTCCCCCCCTCCTCCCTCCCACCCCTCCCTCTCTCCCCCCCCTCCCCCCCTCCTCCTCCCCCCCTCCCTCCCTCCCCTCCCCCCCCCCTCCCTCCCCCCCACCCCCTCCTCCCCTACCACCCCCTCCCTCCCCCCTCCCCCCTCCCTCCCTCCCCCCCTCCCTCCCCTACCACCCCCCTCTCCCCTACCCCCCCCCTCCCTCCCCTCCACCCCCTCCTCCCCTACCCCCCCCCTCCTCTCCCCTACCACCCCCTCCCTCTCTCCCTACCACCCCCCCCTCCCCTACCCCCCCTCCTCCCCTACCACCCCCTCCCCTCTCCCCTCCACCTACCCCCCCCACCCCCTCCCTCCCCTACCACCCCCTCCCTCCCCTCTCCCCTACCACCCCCTCCCTCCCCTACCACCCCCTCCCTCCCCTACCCCCCACCCCCTCCTCCCCTCCCCTCCCTCCCCTCCCCCCTACCCCACCCCCTACCCTCCCTCCTCCACCCCCCTCCCTACCACCCCCTCCCTCTCTCCCTTACCCACCCCCTCCCTCCCCTACCACCCCCCTCCCCCCTCCCTCCCCTCCCACCCCTCCTCTCTCCCCTACCACCCCCTCCCTCCCCTACCACCCCCTCCCTCCCCTACCACCCCCTCCCTCTCTCCCCTACCACCCCCCTCCCTCCCCTACCACCCCCTCCCTCCCCTACCACCCCCTCCCTCTCTCCCCTTCCACCCCCTCCCTCTCTGTCGCGGAACTCGAGAGAAGGAGAATCAAGGAGCGCACCAAAACCACGAGCGACAATTCCGGGGTTCGCGAGTTCGTGCCCCACCCCCATGCTGCTGCTGCTGCTGCTGAGTTGGCGTTGCCAAGGTGGAGAGGGCTCCGTCGCTTATAGGGCGTGCCCTCGCCAAGAACGCGTGGCTGCGAGCGAGAGTGTAGGGGGCCGTCCATAAATGACGTCACGCATCTAGGGGGGGGGGGGGGGTCAGACATTTGTAACGATGTGTGACGAGGGGGGCGGGGTGAGAAATGTGACGTCACATTAAAATGCGCAACTTTAAATAAATATAAACAACACGTTCTACTTAATTAAATATAATTTTTAATAAAATGTTTTCTCCTACAACATCAGAGTGCAGCGCCACATTAAATACGCACTACAATGACAATAGTTTAAAGCGATTTGAAGCATGTTTTATTGTTTTGGGGGGGGGGGGCAGAGCTTTGTGACGTCATATTTGAGGGGGGGGGTCTGACTTTTTGTGACGCCGTGTGACGAAGGGGGGGGGGGTCAAAAATCGTCCAAAATCGCGTTACGTTATTTATGGACGGCCCCTAACGATCGCGAACACCGCAGCCAATCGAAACTAGCACTCCAATTATAATTAGGATGCAGTCATTACTAACATGAGTGATCGTGCCGACGCTGTCTCAAATAACAATGAATGTTTTCGGTATAAACCAGCAGTGCCCTAACACGGGGTGGAGCGGTGGGGCAAGTGGTTAGCGCATTGCACCTTGACCCTGTGTGAACCGAGTTCCATTCCCGCCCAGAGATATAACAACATCAGTGGCGGGTGGTTTCTGAGCCGGCTCTGGGCACTCCCTTCACCGAACGGCAGTGGCCAGCGTGGTCGCCGCCTTCATCCAGCAGTGGATTGACCCCGGGGGATTCGAGTTGTTTCGCGTGTCCCGTAACTGCCTGCGGCCATTCCGGATTGAGTTTGCCACGTGTCAATATGCGGCGGCTTGTGGAGTATTTGTTGTTTTCAAAATCGCGGTTGCTCAGCACAGGCCAGCAACTAACAGCACGATTAGAGCGGTAATAGAGAAGCGTTAAGACGTTTGTTGCATGTCAGCGAGGCTATACGAGTTGATCACCTTGACTCACGCCTGTAAACGGGTCTGGGGGTTCACTACCCACGGGGTTGCCCCCAAGTCGCGTGACGTCACAAAGGAACCACGTGCGCGCGGGCACTGGGCGTGCGCACTGCGGGAGGCCCAGCGCCTGTACACGGAAACGATTTCATCGCTCCATCTCCTCTCGGTTGCTTTCCTTTCCTTGGTCGATACCAAGGCTGGCTTCACACACAGCGGTGTTCTTCACTCATTTTCCAAGCGGGGTCACTTTTGCCGATAATAATACATCAGTCTGAGGGCCGCTATAGATTTGAAATCATCGTTGGATATGACAGCAGCACGATGATGGGTTGGGGGGGGGGGGTCACACTCTGTGTATTGTCGGGAGCCGTACTAAGAAAGACCACCAGGGTCCGCCAGTAGCACGCGGGCCTTGCAATGACACGCAGGGGTTTTTAGGCTTGCGTTTAGTGAGCGGGATCACACGTCTCGCTCTCAGCTCACGCGTGCACACCACTGCATTGGAGCTTCCTGGCGTCACAGCGACGTGCTGGGGTGGTCAGGGCCCAGACACGACGACGGTTCGATATTTCCCACGGCCCAAGAAAGCGCGGTGTCCAGTGACGTATTCAGCTAGTGCGGGACCTGTAGCACATGTTATAAAGGGGCCCTAAATAAAAAATAATATGAAATCACAAACGTTTTACTTGCATAGTAAAGTAATTGTATTTTTTCATTTGATATACTGTACAGACAAAATACGACAAATCGCTAATCTTAAATACCCAGTCGTTCATAAAAGTTGAAGGCGGTATAGTACTATAGTAAGAGCAAGTGCAGAAACACTGAACAGGAATTGATAGCTTGAAAGCATTAAGCGTTGGGCCCGTAGCATTTGTAGCTACTTTTGCTACGAGGATAATCCGGCACCGTCGGTGTCCACCGCGCAGTGGACAATGATGTTACAAAGTAGGCGATTGCCGGTGTCAAATTATGACCCCAAACCATAACAAGATTGTCAACGGTGCAATGAATACACGGGAGGCCTGTAGGTCGGTGTAAGATGGCTCTCCCACTGGGCCCCTTCTTGGTGGTCAGTAATGGACTCGTCCACTTAAAAATGTAAGATCCCCAAAATAAAACTCACATTGTTGTCTCGTGTCGTTTCCACGGAGTCCTCACAATTTGAATTCTATCCTAATCTAATCGAATGAGCATTCTACGTTTCTATTGAACCGAAGAACCACTTCTCTAGGGATTGGATGTCCCTCAGTCTCAGGCATGTCGTGGCACGTAACTCTATAATGCCCAACCGAGTCTCAGGGCTTTAACAGAAGTTTCATTATTGATTTGAAGCTTTCGTGACTGCAGGAATCCATACTCTTTGGTTCTTTCGGTAAAGTCACGTAGGTAGAAAAATAATGGATCACGACGTTTCGATCGCAACACAAGCAATCGTCATCAGGTGGGACAACCAGCAGTTTTTTCTTGCTGTGGTTGTCCCACCTGATAACAATTGCTTGTGTTGCGATCGAAACGTCGTGATCTATTATTTTTATACCTACGTGACTTTACCGAAAGAACCAAAGAGTATAAAGTTTAATTATATCACACGCTTTGAGGGTGCCGCGGTGGTGAGATGTTAACTACCTCGCCCGGTATATAGGTCGTGGCTTCGATCCCGACCCTGACGCCTGTATATTTCGAGTTTGCATGTCTCTCTCCCTGTAGTCGCGTGTATTTTTGTCCAGGTCCTCCGGGGTTTCCATCTACATTTAGAAAAATGCGTTCAAGAGTTTTTGGCTGCAATAAATGTCAACGTGATAAGCCACTCTGTTGAGCTATCATTTGTGGCCAGGTCGCTTCTGAAAAAAAATATATATATAGCTCAGTGGACCTTACCTGGTAAAATAAAATAAAGTTCATAAATTGCGTAAAAAAATAACGTGCATTCCAATAAACATAATACACTGCGCGTGGCACGTTACATTGTGCACATGTACAGAGTCACGCCCCAAAGCGCGTGGGGCGTTGTCGAAGCACGCTGTGTGGAGTGGGCGCCCACATCCCTAAGATGTCTTCCGATGTAGACGTAGGCTGCCGTGTTCCAGCACAGTGGCTTGGCATTCCAAGTGTCTCATCCAAGCCGACCGGCACACGCTTGCACAGAGGACACTGAATCGGATGGGTGTGTGCACAATGAAACGTCATTCAAATTCCACACATTTCAAGTAAAGGCAATTTTTGAAGTTTATTGGACATTTCAGCACCCAAACCTTGTGGCTTTATTTTTTAACAATGCACTTCACATAGCCGTGTAATTTCACTTTTGTGTTCAGGCCAGCAAGGGGGGGGGGGGGAGCGAGCTCTGTGCACGGGAGGATCACCGAGGGATCTTCACGACGCCACGGCCCCGTCACGCCGAGTGCCGTCGCGCTCCAGCCTGGATGTCGTCGCGAGCGGCGCGAGGTCACGTGGGCGGTGCTGCCCCCTTTGGACCTTCAGCGGCTCTGCTGCGACCTCACCGCCCAGGCCCTCCCGCTGACACTCTCGCGGGACCGCACGCTTCTATCAGACGGCAAAAAAACATTGGGCCACCTACTCGGGAGCCAATTGTAGAGCGTTTGCGGTAATGTGGAATGGCAAACTCCGGCCGGGTTTGACCTGCGGTTAGAGCGAACGGCCTCGCGATCGCAAGGCTGCCAATGCGGACTCGGGGGGCGACTCGCCCCACTATCCCGCCAAGGTTGAGAACGCGAGCGCCACATTGCGCGCACCTGTACGTTGAACTTCTCTCGCGCCGTACGTAGCCAACCGTGGCTCATCGGAGGTGCGGGGGAAGGACAACCAAACTAAACACACTGCGGGGAATCGACAGTGGTCGTGCTGCGAAGCAAAATTTCCACTTTGCAGGCCAAAGACACGCACAAGCAGGCGACATCCCTGCAACACGAACGGGCGCCCGCTCTGCGGGGGCCGTCCTTTTACGAGGGCCATCCTTCTCCCTTTGAGGTCGTGGCGCAAAGCGGTGAGCCAGGAGTACTGAGCCAGGGTGCAAGGCGGGACCCGTGCGCAGCCAACTCGTGACATGAAGGCTGTCAACGAGATGCGATTCTCGCTTGCCCTTGGCAATGGCCGTGTTGTGACGGACATCAATAGCCGCTGACCCCCACCACCAGCACCGTCCACGGATCGATGGGGTGCAGCGTCTATGAGCGAACGAGCTCTTCGGCGGTGACACCACTGAGCACGCGAAGCACTCCGCTCAGTCGAGAATTTGCCTTCATGTAATCCTGCACTGTGTAGTATATTAGTAAAAAAAGAACACAATACAACAAGCTGGCAGGCCAGCCTCCTAAGTGAGGACGTTCTTGGTGATCACCATCGCCGCTTTGTTCCGTTGGAGTGGCGCCCGCCGTGTCGACGTCAAGACCTCGCGCCCGTGACACTTCACACCGCGGGCGACGAGCTCGTTAACCAACACCACGAACCTTCTTTATTTTGTCGCTTACTTTTTGCAATATTTATCCAATTGAAAAAATCGTAGCTCCATCTCCAGCCGTATCTCTTAGTGAAATATAATGCGTTGACAGGTGTTGTTTGTTGACCGTTTGGGTCACCCTGTGCACCATGATAGACAAACACAAGGCAGAAACAACATCGTAGGCATCACAGGTCGATGGAGCATTCGCTTCCAAAGCCCCCGGCAGAAGCAACTGCCACCAGCATTGCATGGCTGATGGCGGGTTTGTAAATCATCAAATCTCTCATGGGACCTTGTGCTGTCGCGTATGCCATGCACATTGGTGGGGCGGTTTCCACAGCCGACTTACAAAATTCACTCCTGTAATTATTTGGCAATGGTAAACATTGCATAAATCCCGGTTCATGGATCGTTTAGTTTTCTGAAGGACGCACGGGGCAATAGTAATGTAGCGGGTCTTTCGGCACTGCTTCAGCACAAGATCTGGAAGCCAATACTGGTGCGTGCAGTCCAGAGGAGCCTGAATTCTAAAGTAGTGGCCACATTATATCTGGTGACGCTGCTGCTGTTGCTGCGTTGGCAGTGGTGCACACGCGAAAATAATAAAACGACGCAACGCATTAGTCAAGAAACACCGTGGCCTTAAAAAGAGAAAATATAAAATAATCATATTTAAAAGTATACATTGGCCCTGGTTCACAGCACACACAGAGAGGCGCGAGGTGGAGCGATCTCCATCTCTGGCCTCTCTCTGTGTTTGCTGTGGAGGCCACGGCCGCTCGTCGCGAGTGCGTTGCCTTTTTTTCTGTTACGAGTAGCGGCAGCGCGACGCGGGGAAGTTCGTGTGACCGCAGGGCGTGTAAAGATCCGATTCCGCGGCCATTTTAAACCATTCCACCAAAGATGCACGCGGTGAGCGTGACGTCACAAGGAGATCCCACTCCAACGGCTCAACGCCAATCTGTCCTTGACACGTGTACACTATCGTTCTGTAATAATCATCAAAAGGCATTTTTATTTTAAAAACTCAAACTGGTTTTCGTCTAAGCTTCAGAATATACACAAACAACACAAAAAGATCAACAACATTTGCGCTTTGCCCAACACAATTACAAACATACAAGCTTCAGAACACCTGGATGCACACCAGCTACACTTGCAGCAGGAAGCATGTTCTCTGACACGCAGCGCTGAGGCATTTGTATCAAACTGCTACGCACACTCCAATGGGTTTCCGGTTTGTACTTTGCGTCGCTCGGCGCGATGTCTGACGCTTGCGCTCCGCGTGCTTTGTGGGCCCCTTCAGAAACTGAAGCTAAGAAGCTCAACGTCAGACACCGTGTCGAAAAAGACGCTAAACAAGCGGCCTTCACAATGGTGCCGCTGTCAATGAGGCCAACTCCAGACAGCATTTGCCTCCGTGAGCCTGCAAACTAGGCCAAAGGATGTGATCGCGTGCTAAATATATTTTAAAATAAATTTACAACAGCTTTAAAATCGGCATTATGTCGCAGGACGCGCATTACCAACCTTGGTGAAAGTTTACGGGGAAACGGTCTCGTCGCTTGACCCTCGGTGGGCGGCAAAGAGCGGCTGCCGTACCGAAGAAACGGGTGTCGAGGCTACGATTGGGAGTCTGGAAATCGGCGTCAATGCAGAGTGCGTGGCTGCGGCAGACGAGCGTGCACCCTGCGGCAACCGCAGACGCCTCGCAGGTGTTCGGGGGAGAACACGTCGGAGTCGTGATGAATAACACATCCGGGCATTGGACTGGCACCCAAGCGTACGAGAACGAGCTATGGCGTCGCTTGACGATTATCCTGACAACACACCTCGGCCTTGTGGCCTCAATCGATCAATTGTTTTAACCCGCCGGGAGCGGTTCGTACGATGCACGTAACGAACCCCTCGCGCGTCGACAAAGCATGAGTGGCCTCTCTGCGTCGCTCTGTCCACATCAGCGTCTGGAAGTGAGAGTTCCTCGTGCACGCTGCTGGACGCTACATTCGTGGCTGCACAACGGACCCTGGAGGATTTGGGGGTTTGTTTTTTTCCATAGAAATCAAACGCTTGCAATCCAGGTGCCAGCAATGGAAACATGCTTCCAGTCGCTCATGCAGACAGAACGTTGTGAGGCCTTGACTCCTCCATGGTTGTCCACTCTCCCATTAGGCGCATTTGGGATCCTAGAATGGAATGCGCATTATGAATTATTATTGATGTGTTGCTCGAAATAAATGCATCTCTTTAATTTCCTAACCCCGATTCGTTCATCCGCACGACACCATGACTGCGCATGAAACAGACAGCTCCAAGTTTGACATCTTACAAAAACAAAAGCAATGTCGGAAACGACGCTCGGCCACATCTACGATACATCGTGGCATTTCCTCATCGCCCTGCGGCACCTCGCTCATCACGATTGTGGGCCCCCTTCGTAGCGAAGCCTATAAAGCGACAGCATTACGGGAGAACGTCCTAAAACACCACCGATCCAGAGAGCGTGTATGCCCACACATGCCCATCCCAGCTGGGAATATGGCAATTTTAAATGTTAAGATAGTACAACAACTATAAGCATCCGCATTAAAGATCGTCGGTGTTGCGCAGCCCTGATGCCTCGCTGCCACAATTGTGCCCAAGCACGATATTCAGAAGCGCATTCCCTGTTGACAGCGAGGCCTAAGCCAGGCTATGGAGCAGGCTAGGGCAGGTCACCCCGCTCGGCTGGTCAGGGGCCGTGGGCCTTTCCCCCGTAACGCTGCGTGGCCGCCGCGTACATCGCGGCGGGGCGCTTTTCCCAGGGCCTGCACACGTTTCAGTGACGAATGCGCAGGGGATGCAAAGCTTTGATTACGTGATCGGTGCCACACGAGCCTGAGATAAGCACGGCTAAATAGAGACAGAAAATTCTATCCGTAAACACAGAGACCAAAGCCCTAGTTTTTAACAGACAACACGTATTAATTAATACAGTAGAGATTTAATTTCGACTAGCAAATGCCAATGCACATTCAAACGAGGATATAAATGGCACAAGGTACCCCGTTACCAACGAGTTAATCAAATACGCGCTACCTCGGCAGAAATCACACGCGCTGGGCACGGCGCGCACGCACAAACCTTCCTCCGCACACACAGTAAGTCGGCCGGCGTTGTCATGCAGAGCGAGGTTGGTCTTCCTTCTTATAACGGACGCCCCAGGGAGAGTAAATGGCGGTGGCTCCGTGTGCGTGCGAGCGAGCGAGCAGGCTGCCAGCGAGAGGTGCGCTCACGGCCCTGCGAAGACAACGACGACGACAACAATGGCAGGGGCAGCGACGTCACAAAACGTCACAACGCCGTTGAGTGGCGGTGACCCAACGACCCCGCAAGCTCTCGGTGGGTTTTAGTCGTCAGGTTTTTGGGGCACGGCGTGCGTTGAGGCCGGGTGGATCGTGGTGGGGGGGGGGGGGTGCAAGGGTGGAATACCGCTGAGCTCCCTGGGTTCAGATCCGAGCCCCGTGACCAACGTGAACCTTTCGAGTATGGCGAGTTTGGTAACCTCACCAAGAATTGCCAAATATTCATTCATTCATTTGTTTCGCTTGATTCTATCAACTCCGGATGAAACCACAGCACGCCGGCCGACGTAACAATAGCTAAACAAACCTTTAATGTAACATCCGGTTCACGGCCGTTGGGCCTGTGCCCACTCGCCGCGATAGAAACGGAGACAACAACAACAACGACAACAACAAATAGCAGAAGCGGTGACCGCGAAGCAGCGGCACAACGATGAATTTAAACAGGGGGGTGGGGTGGAGCTATGCAAGATCCACGATTGTGGGCCCCCTTCCTTTCTCCCAACTCACTTTTTACTGAAATAGCTACGGATGTTTTTTAGCCGCATAGCAATAATACGTCAGCTACAACTGTCTATATTAGTTTAAGTTGCTGCACAGCGTATTGGGTTGAGAGGAAGCCAGTCTCACGGTGACGGTGTTAATTAAAGGATTTTACGGTACAATACTCGCAATTAAGTTGTCATGCGTCGTGCTTTCATGCTGCACGTCAGCAAAAAAAGTCCCGGGTCCAGCGACAAACACTAGCAGCAGCGCCGCTATATTTGACGCTCTGTATTTTTCGGAAATATAATTTTTTTTAAATTTAGAACACAGTTTTTTAGCATTTATGGTTAATTGTTGGAATATATTTAAGTAAATAAAACACATTTCTTTTTTGTTTTTTTGTTTGTTTATCTGTTCTAGATTTGAAGCTTTCGTGACTGCAATGATTCATACTCTTAGGTCTTTTCGGTAAAGTCACGTAGGTCAAAAATAAAATAAAAATTAATAAAAGTAATAATAGAAATAAAATAATAATATAATAATAAATCACTTTATCGCATCATTTTATTTTTATTATTACTTTTATTAATTTTAATTTTATTTTTTACCTACGTGACTTTACCGAAAAAACCTAAGAGTATGTTAATCTGTTGATTCGGGGCCCCCTCGTGGCCGACTGGGCCCCTATGCGTCGCTTAACGCTGCTGCATACCCCCCACCCCCCATAGCTGCGCCCCTGCCGCGAGGGGCGAGGTAGTCGGGACCGCGCGAGGCTTGTGGGCCGCACCGGGGCGCCTTCACCCACCCCAGGTGGACAGGAGCCCGATGGCGAGCAGCGCCAGCACGCTGAGGGGCGCCAGGCCCAGCGCCCCGCACTCCATCTTGCCCTTGGGGCACGGGCACACCAGCACCGGCACGTTGGTGTGGTTGTTCTGGGGCGGGTTCCCCGAGTCCGTGGCCACCACGGGCAGGAGGTGGCGCCCCTTCTTGAGCGTCTGCAGGAGCCGCACCTCGGTGTGCGTGCCTGCCGCACGCCCCGTCGGGGCAGCAGGAGAACGGGCGGAGAAGACACAACCCAGCGTTAGCCCAGTGGTGACCCATTGCCTGTGTGGTGTAGTGACTAGCCCAGTGGTCACCCATTGCCTGTGTGGTGTAGTGACTAGCCCAGTGGTCACCCATTGTCTGTGTGGTGCAGTGACTAGCCCAGTGGTCACCCATTGCCTGTGTGGTGTAGTGACTAGCCCAGTGGTCACCCATTGCCTGTGTGGTGTAGTGACTAGCCCAGTGGTCACCCATTGCCTGTGTGGTGTAGTGACTAGCCCAGTGGTCACCCATTGCCTGTGTGGTGTAGTGACTAGCCCAGTGGTCACCCATTGCCTGTGTGGTGTAGTGACTAGCCCAGTGGTCACCCATTGCCTGTGTGGTGCAGTGACTAGCCCAGTAGTCACCCATTGCCTGTGTGGTGTAGTGACTAGCCCAGTGGTGACCCATTGCCAGTGTGGTGTAGTGGCTAGTCCAGTAGTCACCCATTGCCTGTGTGGTAATTTGTGAGACAAGCAGCAACCACCGGGAATTCAGAATCAGAATCTTTGTTATATCCTGGAGAAATCCGATAGCCGTGAAGCTCTTTTTCACAGACGTCCTATTGCTTCTTCATTGCGCGAGTGCCGCTTCATCAATACATGCTGTTTACTCACGTGGGGGGTTTTTTCTATCATAAGTCGGTTCTGTTATTAAAATTAAATAATCGTTTACAAAAGTGAATGACATTACATAAATATTTTATCTAAATAAATAAAGACCTTAATTAGTATTCATATACGTCTCAAAAAACCTCTAGGGTACTTCCCGACGAGGTAGAAAGCTGCAATTTGGTACAGCTTTTCGGACACAAACAACAGGAAAATTATGAAAATCCGAGATTTTTCATTTTAAGGCCCCCAAATCTCGATATCAAGTGCTCCATAAACATGTTTGTGCGTGTCATTCAGAAACCGTTCAAAATATAAGATTGCAATTTGTTTCGTTTGATAGAGCAAATTAAATGAAAGTGAGAACCATCATTGTATTTTATGATCTTCAAATCTGAATAATTCGAAAACGGAGGTCGCTCACCGTTGACCTTGGTGAGCTTCCAGGTCTTGTCGAGCCCCATGGGCGACTTGGGCAGTGCGATGATGAAGGGCTCCCCGTTGGGCGCCAGGTCAAGGTCCCGGGCCCACAGCGTGCCGAGCGGCGGGGACGAGGCGTTGCGTGGCCCCACGCACACGCGCAGGTCGGCCGGCATCACGTGCGGCGCGTTGTCGTTCTCGTCCAGCAGCGTGATCACCAGCGTCGCCGTGCCTGTCGCCGGCGGGACGCCTGCACCCGCCAGCAAACGCTTTGAGGCTCAAAACCGCGCGCTTAACTTCAACTATTTTTTATTATAGCAGGTAAGGCCCACTGAGCTACGTGGCTCTTTCTCAGAAGCGACCTGGCCGCAAACGATAACTCAACGAAGTGGCTTATCACGAGGAAATATATCGCAGCCAATTACTCTAACCGAATGTTGATTCTAAATGTGGTGGGAAAAACCGGATGCCCTGGAGAATAATCCACGCGAGACACATAAACTCCAAATATGCAGCAGGCATCATCATGGTTGTGATGGAACCCACGACCTCCTGTATACCAGGTGAGGTAGTTAACATTCCACACCCTCAACTCGAGCAGGCTCTGGGCGAGGCCTCGGCCACGCTGGTGATTGCCGAGGGCCGAGCCGGAGCTGCCCGTGACCGAGCATCTGGAGCATCGTTGGCAGCAACCGAGCGGCTCGAGGCCTGGCTGAGCCGAGCGAGAGGCTGAGCCACAGCCGAGCCACGACCGAGCCAACGGCCCCCGAGACTCGCGGACTCCGAGAGAAATAAGCGCCGCGACATGCGCGATGCGCACGCCGCGGGTGACACGTTCATCCAGCAGCGGATTGAAAAAGGGTCGTTGACGAAGAAAGACTCTTCGTGTGACGAGGACTCGGCTGTGGGCGAAGGAGCTCCTAGGGCGTGGGCCCATGGTCGGCCCTTGGGCCCTCTTCCACGCTGGGAAATTTGAACTTGTGAAAAAATAAAAGGCAAGTCATGGATTTCTGATCGCACGCAAACTAACCTCAAGGTGTGTGGAGACCTGTAACCTGTGGCACAGGAGGCTCGTATTGTACGGCCCTTCGCTCATCCACTGATGGAAGGCTTCCACCATGCCAGACCAAGTAACGGTGGTTGCTGGGCTATATTCCACTACTCTGGTCAGTGCTTTTTGGTGAAGTCGGGGGAGGGGTAGGCCCGGTTGACGTGTCACTCATCGTTGATGTTAAAAGCTGTGGACGACTCGGCCCTCAACGAGTACGACGTGATAAACATCAGCACTCGGGGATACAAAGGCGGCCCGGCGCGGTGCTGGCCACCCACACCCCGTTGCGTGCCGCGTCGGCCTTCATAGGCGCTACTCGCTCACAGCGCTCGCCCCAACGGCGGGGATCTCCGCCTCGGCGTGCGAGCGCGGCGCGTACCGTTGTCGGTGGCGGTGAACACCGCCGTGTAGCGGCTGTTGTTGACGAAGGGCGACTCGCGATCGAGGCGCTTGAGCGTGCGCACCTGGCCTGACGTTGGCACCACGCTGAGCCAGTTGGCCGGGTCCGACAGCACCGCGTACCTGAGGGTGGGGGGACACGTGGGGACGGGGACGGGGGGGGGCTCACGCCAGCTCCCACGCTCACACCCGCTGAGCACGCTGAGCCGCTTGGCCGGACTGTGAAACCACTGCAGACGACTTCACCCGTCTCGTGACAAGCAGCCCCTTCGGTCACGAAAACTCGGCGCTGTGAACGCGGCGCGAATATCGAACATACTCATTAGTCGATTACCTGGGGAATGGTGGGGGAACGGTTAGCGCTACGCTGTGCTACGAACCCGGCGACCCGAGGTCGATTCCCGCCTACGGCCAACACCGGTGACGATTATCTAAACCGGTCCTGGGCCTCCCCCTAGGTCGACTCAGCCTCTTAATGAGTACCTGGCGTGGTGTGTAAACATCGCTATTGGGGAGACAAAGGTGGCTGGGCGTGGTGTTGGGCACCTACCCCTACGTGTGCTGTATCGGCTTTCACAGGTGCTCGCTAACAGCACTTACCCCAAAAGTCAATTAAGGCTTTAAGGGGGATCTTTGTCTTTGTGCGTGTGTATTAACGCAGTGGGGGGGGGGGGGGGGGGAGCGGTGGTTGGCGCTGCATTGCGCTACGAACCCGGCGATCCCAAAGTCGATCCTCGCTCACGGCCAACACCGGCAACGAATATTTAAACCGGCGCTGCGCCTTCCCTAGGTCGATCTGTCCTTAAACGAGTGCCTGGTGTGCGTGTGCAAGTGTGCGCACACACGCACTCACCGCACTGTCTGCTTGTGTGCGCGGTCAGGGTCGGTGGCGTTGAGGCTGAGCAGCGTGGTGCCCGGGGCGGCGTTCTCGCGCCACGTGATGGCGAGCGCGGACGAGGGCGCGAACTCGGGCGCTTCGTTCACGTCCGTGAGCATCACGCGCACCGTCGCCGTGGACGAGGGGCCGGCCTTCACGCCCGCCGCCAGCGCCTCCTCGTTCTCCGCCACGATCACCAACTCGTGCGCCGACGAGCGCTCGAAGTCCAGGGGCTGCGGGGCGAGTGGGGGGGGGGGGACGCGGCGATGGTCGCACCTTCAAGAGGAGAGCGAGTCGGCGCCGTTTGGCGCGGACGCCGATTGTCTTCGAAATGAATACAGAGACATAACTGCGCGATTTTTGTCAATATTGATAGGCAGTAGTGTGCTGATGAGTCCTGATGAGCACAAATCCGGTCAACAATCGCGTCTTTGTTTCACTGCCCCCTGTTGGGATGGCCACATTTCCTCAACCTTTTGAGTTTGTGGTCTAAAGTATGAATGACAAAGGTTGCCATACTTTCAGTTCTTTTTGCGCTGGTGGTCTGGACAAGTACAGCACTGTACATGCAATGCTGCACAGCTGTGTGCGTTGTGAAATCTATTTGTGTCCAGCCTGCGTTTATGTTCCCGTTGTGATGGATTTTCTAGTCGTTTACAGATTTGAATTAGTAATCCGATCGATGGACTTGACCCCGCCAAAGCAACGTGGAATTTACACCACTGGTTGAGGGCTGTAAAACAGGGCCCGGACAGCACCTCAACATTCATTTGGACAGGGCGCCAGTTTGACTTGTTGCGCTCCGAACGGACCGGTCCCACCATAGGAACGTGGAATTCCCACAACAGACTCCGGAGATGCCCTCCCTCTCGCGTCACGGCGCAGCACGCCACCCCCTCCCTGGGCATGGGGCCACGCTGGAGTGTGGTGGGGGACGGGCACCTTGACGGCGGCCAGCATGCCCTGGTTGGTCTTGGGGTTGGTGCTGACGTTGAAGAGGGCTGCGTCGTTGCCGTGGGCGATGTGGAAGACGGCGCGCCACGCGGGGCCGCCCGGCTCGTCCTTGTCCTCCACCGTGAGGTTCAGGAACACGCCGCGCGCGTCCTCGCGCAGCGTCACCGCGTGCTGGGGGGGGGGGGGGGTCACGGGAGGAGGGGGGGGGGGAGGCGCGCGGGGGTCACCGCAGGTCACCGCGTCCTCACCGCGTCCTCGCTCACCGTTGAAGGTCGTCACGCGTCGCGCGTCGTGGTGAACAAAGGATCGGGTCATGCGTGAGATTTAAACGATAACAATCCCATCGATAGTTGTTGTTCATTGAAGAAGTTGTTTTTAACGGTGTTCCAATTGTTCTTGGCATTCATTGATGTCGTGAGACGAAGAAACTCCCGCAGTGAGCAGTGTACCACACGGAGTCGGAGAATGCCCCCCCCCCCCTAAAGGCGATGTCTTAAAGACAACTACGATCTGACGTTCATTCACTCTCTTTCATCGCCACTTTGATTTTGCCCTGCAACGAGCATCAAAAGCAGGTCAATGAAGCCTCAGTGTTGTTCAATTCTCAGAGCTGAAGCAAAGTGAATTAAATTAAGAGCCGGACGCAATGGGGAGTTTGTTGGTGCAGTTATTGGTGATAATAACTGCACCCTCAACTCGTTACACTCGACAAGCCGGGGTCGGCTCGGCGCTCCGACCCCCGAGCCCTCCCCCACCTCCGAACCCCTGGGCACCACCTGCCCTGTGTGCCCCACGCCCTCGGTGGCGTGTGCCGGCTGCGTCTCTGCCCCTCTCCGTCACCAGTCCCCCCGTGCCGCCCTGCCATCCCTCCCGCACCACGGTCGTGAGATGTTAACTACCTCGCCTGCTGTACAGGAGGTCTGGAGTTCGGTCCCGACCCTGGTGCCTGTAATATTTGGCGTTTGCGTGTTTCTCCCTGTGGTCACGTGTATTTATCTCTGGGTCCTCCGGGTTTTCCATAAATGTGCGTTTAGAGTATTTGGGTGATATAAGTTTCAGCATAAGCCACTTCGTTGAGCTATCATTTGTGGCCAGGTAATTAAAAGGAAGAGCTACATAGCTCTGCTGCCATCTCCTGGCCTCCTGTCACCTCCTGGAAGCGTTTGGAGTTGCGCAAAGCGGTGCGATCCACCAACCCTCGCATCCACAAGGCACTGGAGCGTGGCATGCATCACCATGTGTGGAGTGCAAAACCGCAAACCCCTAAGGGGGCCACAAGCAGCCGCTCTGCATAGCGTGAGGGCGGGCGGCAGGTGGTGCCACCTCGTAGCTCTAAAGGCCACAGAGACCCGCAATCTACTAAGAGGGCCCGGTCCTTCCGCGCTGCCTCGCACGGGGGGCCCTGCTCACGGGCAGGGCTGGACTGGACGCAGAGCAGCAGTCTGTAGGGCAAATGCCGGTGGCCCGGTGCAGCGGGGGGGTCTATGTGGGGAAATTGCAAAAATGACCAAAGTAATATTTTATGACCTCTAATGTGTACGCTTCATTGTTTGTTTACTCTCTCGGTTGGCACGAAGTCCCCATATTCGGCAGCCCCAAAGATTCTTCCTCGTTCGTTTTTTGGACCCAGCCCACATGCGTCAATGAGATCGCACAGCAAAAATAGCACTAACAACACGAAACATCACATCTTAACATTTAGCGAATTTCATAGCCCGAATTTGGGCCCGGTGGGTTTTCAAATGCCTGGGCCAATTTTTTTCGTCTCAGTCTGTCACTGCTCGCGGCTGCGGTCCTCCAACGCCGCCGGCACCAGGGGTGGTAGTGCCAGGGTCGTTTCCTCTCGACCAGGGAACCGTGCGAGCGCGAGGTGTCATGGCGCTGCTCGCAACGCGGAACGAGCGGGCGGTGGCAGCACGGCCAGCGTAGTGATTCGCACACTGCAGCGGTCTTCACTCGTTTTCAGCCGGCTGGGGGGGCACTTTCACCGATAAAATGTCAGTGTGCGAGGGCCGCCACGCGTTTGAAACCATTGGGGTTTAATAATAATAGTAATAATGCATAAAACGCCCTTAAAAAATCGTTCTCAGGGCGTGTGCATGGCAAGGCAGAAAACAGTTAACAACGAGCATGAAAAGGAGACCGTGAGAAAGACGGTTGGAAGTAGCTGGAGAGAAACCATTCTAACAGCAACACGACGAGTGGTGTTGTCACTCGTTGTGCATCGTCAGGGGGCCGCACTCAAGGCCACCAGGGGCCGCCGGAGGCCCGCGGGGCCTTGCGATGAAGAACCCCGGCGCACGCGGTCGCGCCGTTTAATCGACCGATCGTCCGGCCCGCACCGCGGACGGATTTTTGAATCGCTGAATCCCTCGATCAGGAACTGCCTGGAAATCGCCTTAAAGTTTCGGGCTAAACAAATAAAATTTGATTTGCGATCGTGATGTTGGGTTACCCATTCATTAATTCAATGAATGTTTTGAGTATGAACTCGCCCCCACTAAAGAGGGCATCGCAACACTTGAACAGCATACGTTAAACGAAGGAAATCCTACCTATAAAATGGAGACTACACATTCATTACACTTTGCATTAAAATTGAATTAGAAAGTGTGAGCGTCACGTGGCAGTGACGTCACTGGAGAACTCCAGTGACGTCACTGGAGAACTCCAGTGACGTCACAATCACGCGCGACGGAGAAGAGCCCGGACACACGACGCTGTTGAACAAGACCAACTCGGATTCGGCCCAAGTTGGAATCCTCCTGCCGCTGCTGCTGCCACGTCTGGGGTCGAGGGCACACCCCCCCCCCCGACTGCTGCCCCCCCCCCGCAGCAGTCGAGTTGATTGTCGATGCATCACTCAGCGAGTCAGTCGCCTCTCTATCCCCCTTATATCTTCCACACACTTCCCCACCCACTAATTTACCTCCTTCTCTGCCCCACCCCCCCTCTCCCAGACTTAACTTCACATTTAGCAATCTTTGGAAGAACGTAATCAACCAGGTAAAGTGTTAACTGTTGTGTTAGCTGACTCTCTGTGTTGCATTGCATTACATTTCTAAGTTGACTGGGTTTGTTTTCTCAAACTTCCAATTTCTCTCCCCCTCCCGCTCTCATTGACATGCACATTTCTCTGCCACAACCCCCCCTCTCTCTCTATATAATACCTCATCACAGAGGCGTTGTTTCTCTGTGTGTCTCTCTCTGTGTGTGTCTCTCTCTGTGTGTGTCTCTCTCTGTGTCTCTCTCTCTCTATGTATGTGTCTCTCTCTCTGTGTGTCTCTCTCTCTGTATGTGTGTCTCTCTCCGAGCTTGTATTCACACCTGATGACGGTTGCTTGTGTTGCAATCGAAACGTACTATTCTATTATTTCTTTTCTTTTCTTTCTACGTGACTTTACCGAAAGAACCAAAGAGTAATTCCTGCAGTCACGAAAGCTTCAAATCAAGTTTGAACCCTCATATCGCTATTACCATGGGCACTGTTCTTCACTCATTCATCCCTCCTCCTCCCGTGTTGAAGACTCGCCAGACACTCACCGCTTCGCACTGCCTTCAACCAGCACCACCCTTGCAGCAGGTCACAGCAACACACTTCCCCACCCACTAACTTACCTCCTCACCTACCCGCACCATTACCCGCCCACTCACTCACCACACCGCAGGTCACCTCCCTTTTCTTTATGCATTGTCCCTCGCACACTGCCACTTTGGAATTCCCTCCTCCCATCGTCTCTCTTTTCCCAAGCTCTTATTAGAGTAACGTTGCTCACAATCCATTACAATTTTTGCGAAGTGTTGCGGCCCATTTTACGTCCCGGGCCCGCGTGGGCACTGCGCTCAGCCACTACGCTAAAGATAGACGACAATGCGAGCCGCTCGCGCTGTTAGCCTCGCGTGCTCACGGTGAGCGGGGCAGAGGGGAGCCGAGTGGGAGCGGAGGGGAGTGGAGGGGAGCGGGGCGAGAGGGAGCAGCGTACCGAGGTGCGTGTGAACACGGGCGCGTGGTCGTTCTTGTCGGTGATGTGCACCGTGGCGGTGGCCGTGCCGGTGAGGCCCTGCTCGACCCCCGGCGTGTCGCGCGCCTCCACCACCAGCTCGTACGCCAGCGTTGGGAGAGACTGCACACGCACGGCGGGGTCAGGGGTCAGGGGTCGCAGCTTCTCGACGTGATGCAACCCGAACTAGGACCACACAGAGCACCCTGTAGTCCGCGCTCCTTCAACGGACGGGGAACAGCAAAACCACGCAAACTATTTCTCTCGTCGTGGCCAGCAGCAGACCTCGACATTGGCGAGCCAACTCCTTCGCCTGGTGCGCAGGAGGTCGTGGGTTCAAGCCTGACCCTGACGCCCGCTGTATATTTAGAGTTTGCGTGTCTCTCTCCCCGTGGCCGCGTGGATTTTTATTCGGGTCCTCAGGGTTTTCTTTCCCCATTTAGAATCAACGTCAGGCGTTTCGAGTATTTGGCTGCTATACATTTATCCACCCGTGTGCGTTCTCCCTTGTTGAGACTGGAAAACCCGAGTCGGAGTGGTCGGGGGTGGTGGACGGGGGGCAGCCCCCTGACCTCGCGGTCGAGCAGTGCGGCGTCCACGTTGGTGGTGATGCTCCCCGTCTCCGCGTCGATGGTGAACATGTGGGCGCTGGGCACCGCGGGTGACTGGCTCAGGATGGTGTAGCGCAGCTCCGCGTTGTCCGTGTCCTGCTCGTCCGCATCCTCCGCCGTCATTATCATCACCACCGTCCCTGCGGCATGAACGCGGCGATTCGAGAAGTGTGACGTGTAAAGTGCGTGCGCGTGTGTGCGTAATGTACGCAGTGTGTGACGACGATGTGCGTGGCCTGTGCGTGTGCGTGATGTACGCAGTGCGTGATGTACGTGGTGTGACGTACGTGGTGTGTGTGCCGTTAGTGGTTCGTGTGACGTACGCGGTGCCCGCACGTGTGTGTGACGCGCTCCGTACCGTTGGGCGAGCCCTCCTGCACCGTGCCCTTGTAGGGCCCGTGTGTGAACTGCGGTTTGTTGTCATTGAGGTCCAGCACGCGCACCTCCAGCATCACGGGCTTCTCCAGCTGCGAGCCGTCCACCCTCACGCCCTCCACCCGCAGCTGCCACGTGGCGGGAGGCACCAGCGACGCATTCGGGGTCGACATTCGGGGATCAATGTGAGCATAACTGGGCCTTTGTCGGAGGCCCTCGCTGACAGCGCTTGCCCTGACAGCACGTGTACGTCTTTGTGTTGCACGTGCGTCTGTGTCTGCGTATCTCTGTGTGTGGTTGTGTGTCTGTGTGTGATTGTGGGGAGCGGTGGTGTAGCGGTTGGCGCGGCGTGCTATGAACCAGGCAACCCGGGTTCGATTCCTACTCACGGTCACCACCAGTGACGATTATCTAGGTCGACTCAGCCTCAAATGAGTACCTCGTGCGGTGTGTAAATCTCGCCACTGGGGAGACAAAGGCGGGCGGACGTGGTGCCGCGCCGGCTTTCATAGGTGCTCGCTAATAGCACTTGCCCCAACAGTCTGTCAGGGCTATATAGGGGATCTTTGTCCTCGTCTTTTTTTGTTGTGATTGGCAGAGGAACGACACTCACAACAACGAGTGTGTGTCCATGCATGTGTCTCTCTCTGTGAGTGTGTCTCTGTGCGTGTGTCTCTCTGTCAGTGTGTCTCTGTGCGTGTCTCTCTCTGTGAGTGTGTCTCTGCGCGTGTGTCTCTGTGCGTGTGTCTCTGTGAGTGTGTCTCTGTGAGTGTGTCCATGCATGTGTCTCTCTCTGTGAGTGTGTCTCTGTGCGTGTGTCTCTCTGTCAGTGTGTCTCTGTGCGTGTCTCTCTCTGTGAGTGTGTCTCTGTGCGTGTGTCTCTGTGCGTGTGTCTCTGTGCGTGTGTCTCTGTGAGTGTGTCTCTGTGAGTGTGTCCATGCGTGTGTCTCTCTCTGCGAGCGTGTGTGTCCGTGCTGCCCGTGCCTGGTACTGGGCGATGTACTCGCGGTCCAGCGGATGGGTGACGAAGATGGTGCCGTCCCTCTCGTTGATGGTGAACACCCCGCGCGGCTCCTCGTCAGCGCCGGCGCCGTGCAGCCGGAAGTAAACCTCGCCCGGGAGGCGGTCCGTCACCTCCGCCTGGGGTCAGAACAGGGTGGTCAGGGCAGGGGGTCACGGCGCGTGAATGGAGGTAAAGAGGTAGTTTGGGGTCAGCGACAGCATGGTCGAAGGTCAGGGAGTTTCTCACCCGAGGGTCAAAGTGTCGTGTAACAGTTCACTGGAAGAAAGCCTCACGACTAGAAACAGGGCCACGTTGACTACGCCGAGCGGCGATTTCTCTTCCTCGCGAATGAGGGCTGAGGGGGGGGAGCTGGGGGAGGGGGGGCGATGACTGCGCGGGGCCGGTGCCTCGTTCACCGGCGCGCCGTCCTCTGCCGCCACCGCCGCCTCACCTTGCCGACCTCGCGAGGGAAGGTTCCGCGCAGGTTCTCGTACACGTAGATGTTGTTGGCCGTGAGCGTGCGAGGCCTCCGGCTCAGCAGCACCCCTGCACGGGGGGGGGGGGGGGTGGACACACGCGGTCAGTGCAGAGGGTCAGTGCAGAGGGTCAGTGCAGCGGCCCAGAATGAACGCATCGGGGGCGGTGCGGGGAGGTGAGGGATGTGATGGAGGTGAAGAGAGTGGGGAGGTGAGGGATGCAGGGTGGTGAGGGTGCCGGCAGCGATTGTGGTGAGAAAACGGCGGATTCACGAGGGACGCGCCGATGGAGGTGCAAGGTCCCGTCGCGGAGTTGAGGCGCGCGTGGGAAGAGCGCGAGAGCTCGGGTTGGTGACACCGCTGGTGTTTTGCGCGCCTCTCCCGAGAACCCTCCGTCGCTTCTGAGACGCTCAGCTCAACGCTGGATGCTCGACTCCAATTTCGTCAACTTGAGCAGCGGCGGCGTGAAGTCAGCGTGGACTCATCTTGCCGACACGAGTCCAGAACTCGGCTGCCAGAATCCGATCAACAGTCCCGGCATGCCTCTCTTCACGGGCTCATTCATAGAAAGTTCAGAGTGGTGTTTGAGATCCTCCTTGTGATCTATAAGCCTCTCAAAACCGGACAACCGAGCTCACTCGCGGATTTGCTGAACCCGTACGTGCGGCCGTCCCGAAGGCTCCGCTCATCGATGGCCGGCGCCCCCCGCTCCCCCACCGTGTATTCCCTGGACGTGGCTCCCTCTGTTGTGCTGCTCCCCCTGGCTGTGTGTGAACGCCCAGGCGCCCAGTGTTGTCCGTGACTCTGGCATGACGGTGAGAGCGGTGTTTGTTCTCCGTTGCTTTCGGATCTCTCAGTGAGCTCCAATACGCCAGAGTTGAATTACTCCTCCCCCGGGCAACGAGGTATAAAAATGTTTTTTACTATTTATTTAACTATTTCTTGATCTATTTATTTATTGCGACGTACTGCACTTTATAAATGTATTTTATCATTATGAAAAATATTTTTTTACGGCTGCTGTGCCAGCTCTTATCGTAGTTGTAATCGTGGAGAATGTCAACTTCAAACACACGAAGCCGCAAAGTGCTCGAAGTGTTGTGTTATTTTAATGGCCACTACGCACTGGAAGGCAGCGCCACTGGCTCCCAGCGTGGAGTACCAGAGCACAGCACACGGACATCTCTGCGTGACCCACCAACCTCACCACGACAACTCTGGGCAGTGGTGGCGAGTCAGAGTTGGCCCAGGACCTCAGGTCCGAGGTGAGCCTCAAAAAGGGCCGAGGGCTGCTCATCTAAAAATTTTCCCTGAGCCTCCAGATCCGTTTCGGCGCATTGGGCACCACGCGAGCTTGCAGACACCGAGGGCCGCATCTTCATCAGATTCCTCCAGCTCAAATACATGTTCTGACATCGTTCACCGCGACGCGAATATTCCTGACCTCCCGCGGGTCGCGCTGGCGCTGCGCTGCCAGAGGGCAGCCGTGAGGAGGCCGAGAGCTCAAATGTTAGCGGGGGTCAGCACAGCCGCACCCGTGGTCAGTGAAGTGGCGACCACCGCCTTGTCACAGAGACGTGGCAGGTGGCACGCATAGAGGGGGGGCGGGGGTATGAAGAGAGGGGGAGGGGCACGAGGAGAGGGGGGGGCACGAGGAGAGGGGGGCACGAGGAGAGGGGGGAGGGGCACGGGGAGGGGGGCACGAGGAGAGGGGGGAGGGGGCACGAGGAGAGGGGGGCACGGGGAGGGGGCACGAGGAGAGGGGGGAAGGGGACACGAGAGGGGGGAGGGGGAACGAGGAGAGGGAGAGGGGTATGAAGAGAGGGTGGAGGGGGGCACGAGGAGAGGGGGAGGGGGGCACGAAAGGGGGGAGGGGGAACGAGGAGAGGGGGAGGGGGGCACGTGGTTGTTTATTATTAGCGGCTACAGTAGAAACAGGCGCAGCAGCTCGTCTAAATGTCTCAGGGGCTCCGTCCACTCTGCCACCGCTTCTGTTTTGTTGAAAGTTTTAGTTTACGAAAAAACAGCATCACATAAGTTTGTTTACACAGGAGAGCCCTTATCGCAGAGAAACAGCAGAAGCACACGAACCCTTTCTGTCTCTCTGCTGAAGCCCTCTCGTGGCCAGCAAAAGACATCCAACATTGGCATGGACCTCCTGAACATCTCACTGCCGCCGTGCGCAAGAACAGAACGGGGATCTTCCTCGGCAGGGCCGTCGCGAGGTTTACCACCACCACCACCACCACGGCCACCCCGTGGTCGGTGTCGTCACGAGTGCCCTCTAAATATAGGAGGCCGCAGCTCTCAAATCTATTTTTGCACCACCCCCTACATTTTCGGCTCAAGGCATCCGCCGATGTCGCCCGCGCCCGACGCTGCCGCTGTATCTCCGATGTTTCGCCGATGTTTCGCAATCTCCCCCCCCCCCCTCGCGTCCTCATACCGGGCCTGGCCACGAGCTCCGGGCGGCGGCTAACGCTGTGACCCCCGGGGTAGCCTCGGCAAGGAAGCCCCAAGCCGTTATCCGGTGGGCCCCACTTACTTGGAACGTTTGATCAAACCCTTGGTGACATTTAAATATCATCATCATGATTATCATCATCACCATCCCATGGGGTAGATCGCTCCGTTGGTTTCCACTGCACATTTCGTAATTATTTCGGTAAAGTCACGTAGGTAAAAAATTAAATTCAAATTAATAAAAATAAAACAATAAAAATCACGACGTTTCGGAGGCAACACAAGCTTCCGTCTTCAGGTGAAACCGTCACAGCAAACTATCTGTACCTTATATAGTGGTTAAGGGGGGAGGAGCCAGGAAGGGCAGCGGGGGAGGAGGAGTTGTGAAGTGGTCAATTACTGCTTGTGTTATACTGCTGGTGGGTAAATGAATTAGATACGATTAAGCCGCTCTTGGTTTTGCTGTTTGTGCGCAAGTCGCTGTGGGATGAATGGACTCGTGGCCAGGGACGTGTTGCGCAAGTCACTGTGGATGTACATCATAGAAAAGGAGCGGAAATGCCCATGTTTATACCAGTGTCGGCTGACAATAAAGAGTACTGTTACACGTTAGGGATGTTAACACTCGGTGAAGTAAAATAGTGCCTGTCAGATAAGATGGTCCAAAAATGTGTAATTAAATCTTTTTTGCATGGTTGATAACATCTTTCCAATGATTACTAAGTTTGTACCCATCATCACGGTTGAAATGATGTCTGTGTTTGTATATCTGAATGGCTTCGTGTACAAACCTTTGATGGTAGCCAGAGGGCTTGCAGAGCACCTTAGTCTTGGAGAAAACAATCTCATGAGAGCCCACCGAGTTGTAGCAATGATCAGCAACGGCGGACGACTCAATTTTGCCGTGTTTCAAATCTGACTTGTGCTCGCGGACACGATCAGAGACATGACGTTTCGTTTCCCCAATGTAACAGTCACCACAGCTGCAACTCAGTTTATAGTCTCCAGGGTATTGCAAGTCAGGGATGACATCCTTCACAGATGGAATTAGATCACGGATTTTATGTACTGTACTGAATCGGACTTGGATCTTATGTTTGTTTAGAATTTTGGAGATCTTCTAAACAAACATAAGATCCAATTCCCACACAGATTCCTACTTGAAACCCGATTCCCACCACCACCCATCTCAAAAGAATTATCTTATCAAAACGCTATACCACAGAGCTCATGGCATTTCTGACCAACACCACCTGGCCAGTGAATTAAGACATGTACATCGGGCCCTCAGGATGAACGGATACTCTGACCGCACCATCCGCCAAGCTGTTTCTCCCACCATACAGAAACAGCCACATGAAACTCCGATCAAAACTATCACGTTACCATACATAGCATGCGTGACCAAAAAGATCTCCAAAATTCTAAACAAACATAAGATTCAAGTCCGTTTCAGTACAGTACATAAAATCCGTGATCTAATTCCATCTGTGAAAGATGTGATTCCTGACTTACAATACCCTGGAGTCTACAAACTGAGTTGCAGTTGTGATGATTGCTACATTGGAGAAACGAAACGTCATATCTCTGATCGTGTCCGCGAGCACAAGTCAGATCTTAAACACGGCAAAACTGATTCTTCCGCCGTTGCCGATCATTGCTACAACGCTGTGGGCTCTCATGAAATCGTCTTTTCCGAGACTAAGGTGCTCTGCAAGCCTCCTGGCTACCATAAAAGGTTTGTACACGAGGCCATCCAAATATACAAACACAGACATAATTTCAACCGTGATGATGGGTACAAACTTAGCAATCATTGGAAAGATGTTATTAACCATGCAAAAAATATTTAACTACACATATTTGGAGCATTCCTGGCAGCGATTTCAGCCGCACCACCTCTACATAACAATAGGCTCAGTCAACCATTCTACACAACAAAGACTAATATCCTGGCAGCGATTTAAGCCGCATCACCTCTACATAATAATAGGCTCAGTCAACCATTCTACACAACAAAGACTAATTTCCTGGCAGCGATTTCAGCCGCATCATCTCTACATAACAAAAAGGCTCAGTCCCTTTTACATGCACCTTTACATCATCCGCACCTAGTTTACACAACAAAGGCTCATTCTTAACAGCGGCTTCAGCCGCACCGAACCTCACAACAATAATATTCAGGGCCTACCTTGGCTCCTCCCACCCTCAACCAGTATATATGTAGAGGTGTAATTGCGCATGTCTACGAATGTTGAGGTGTGATTATGCATGGCCACGGATGGCCAACAAACACAAGGGGCGGGGTTACGGCCGTACACAAGGGTGGCGCTCGCACCGACGTCCGCATGTGTATCCCCCACGGGCCCCCCCCTTGGGGGCAAGTCCTATAAAAGGTGATGAGCCGAAAGGCTCGGGAGTCGGGACTCAGCTATAACCAGAGAAGACGGAAGACCAGCTAGTGTAGGCCCCAGAGCTCCCCTGGCTCGCTGTCCTTATAAGGGCCGACCAGGGCAAGCCGGTGGCGTGGCCCCGAGAGCCCAGACGAAGCTGGTCTGGTGACTCAGGGAGCCGGGATCCCAGCTTAACCAAGCTGGGACAGATAGC